CTGGCGCTGACAGGCCTTGCTATGGGACTAACTGCACAAAAACGAAACTAGTGGCATCATGTACATACATCTGAGGCTCACTCCAAAAGTTTTCAAGTCTGAAGCCTTACCGATTTGCCAGCTTGTTGGCCTATTCATCTGCTTTCCAACAAATTATAGTTTGTCAAAATCCATCCATGATAAGGTACCTTTAGACCGCGATACATGAGAGCCATTTCGGCTGACGCTGACAGGCCTTGCTACTGGACTTACTGCACAGAAACGAAACTAGTGGCATCATGTACATACATCTGAGGCTCACTCCAAAAGTTTTCAAGTCTGAAGCCTTGCCAATTTGCCAGCTTGTTGGCTTATTCAACCGCTTTTCAACAGGCTATAGTTTGTCCAAAGCCATGTATGGTAAGGTACCTTTAGATCGCGATATATGAGAGCCTTGTCGGCTGGCGCTGTCAGGCCTTGCTATGGGACTTACTGCACAAAAACGAAACTAGTGGCGTCATGTACCCACATCTGAGACTCACTCCGGAGGTTTCAAGTCTGAAGCCTTGCCAATATGCCAGCTTGTTGGCCTATTCATCCGCTATCCAACAAGCTATAGTTTGTCCAAATTTATCCTTGTTAAGGTACCTTTAGACCGCGATACTAGCCATGTCGGCTGTCGCTGACGGGCCTTGCTATGGGACTTACTGCCCAAAAAAGAAACTAGTGGCATCAAGTACCTACTTCTGAGGCTCACTCCAAAAGTTTTCAAGTCTGAAGCCTTGCCGATTTGCCAGCTGGTTGGTCTATTCATCTGTTTTCCAACAGGCTATAGTTTGTCCAAATCCATCCATGTTCAGGTCCCTTTTGACCGCGATACACGAGAGCCACGTCGGCTGTTGCTGACAGGCCTCACTTACTGCACAAAATCGAAACTAGTGGCATCATGCTTGATCCCTTCTCATCATTTATTGAACTGAAGCTTTCTTTACCAATCGGATTGCAGTTCTTGCAGTGAAATTCAGTTTGGACACTTTGGCCTGCCCTGACACTAATTCAGTTCACCCAGTTATCTTTGTCTCAGTTCACTGTAAACAGTTCAATCAATCAATGTGTATTAAAATATTGTTGTGGAATAAAAAGTCACGGTAAACACAGTCCTCAACCAAATTGTGTATCGACCTATCCATTCCCCAACAAAGTGGGCCCCCTGATCCCAGGTAGCAAGCCCATATGGGTGGCATATGGGCCCCATCGGGGCAAATATATGGGTCCCATATGGGAGGACCCATATGGGCCCCAGATAATTTTGCACCCAAGATTCTTATGGGACCCATATGGGCCAGCCCAGATAAACCCATATGGGTTATGTCTGGGGCCCATCAGGGCAAACATCTGGGTAAAATATGGGGAAGCTTTAATGGGCCCCATCTGGGCCAAGATATGGGTCCCATATGGGCGGACCCATATGGGCCCCATATGGGCGGACCCATATGGGCCCCAGATAATTTTGCACCCAAGATCCTTATGGGACCCATATGGGCCAGCCCAGATAACCCATATGGGTTACCTGTGGGGCCCATCTGGGTAAAATGTGGGTTGTCCAAAATATATTAATCCTAATCTTAATCCTGAATTTCAATCCTGAATCTTACCTTATTACGTTTTCATCCACCATAATGTCCAAATCACATTATATTTCCATTTATATTTAATATTTGCATACCCTAGTCACATTCCTCTCTAATACATCTCACAATGCTCCATCCAACCTTCCAACTTTACTTCTTCTAATTAATCCCTTAATCTTCCCAAATAGCATCTACAACCATAATATACCCCGTAATCACATCCCCTATACCCGTAATCATATTCCCCATAATCATCCCTCCCTCTCTATACTTTCTAATTATATCTTTTGTGTGCACACTTCCAATATATATGCCCAATAATTTCCATTTTCTAAATCACAGTTAGCAAATTGTCAAGCTCCGCCCACAGTTTTGTTTCACAAGTGAGCATGCTCAGTTACGTAATAAATATTCATGACTTTTTTTGCATACCAACTCTTAATGATCAACAAGACATTTTCTAAACAACTTCTTTAGCTTATAACTCTTGACTAACACCGTCGATCTTGTGAATACTTTCCCTTTCCATAGACAATTCACTGAACAACAACTTGGCAGTGTGCACAACCTCGTTTGACCTTAACTTCCGGCTCTACGGGATGTTCGAAATATGATCAATTATTTCTCTTATAACTGTTAAACAATATCACCAATCGTGATCATACTTTGCAATGCGATGCTACATTCATAGATCAACATTTGCGAACTGTACATGACCTCCTTCGACATTTACTTCCGGCTCGACCGGAAGTTCAAACTTAGATCAGCTTTTCCCCGTGTAACACCCATATGGGCCGGCCCATATTCTGCCCACATAAGTTTGCCCAGGTTGTTCCCATGTGACACCCACATGAGCCCATCCGTATTCAACCCACATTGGATTGCCGCTTTTCCCCATATGACATCCGTAATGGGCCAGGCGGTGTTCTGCCCACTTGGTTTTGCCCACGGTTTTCCCATGTGATACCGTTATAGGCCAGCCAGTATTCCGCGAACATGGGTTTGCCCAACTTTTTCCATAATGACACCCCGGTGGGCCAGCCCATATTTTGCCCACACACCCGGTTTTTACCATTTACCCCCATATGGGTCAGTCTGTATTCTGCCTACATGGAGTTGCCCAGTATTATGACACCCATACAGGCCATCCCGTATTTTGCCCACACGTGCTCGCCCAGGTTTTCTTTCCATTATGACACCCACATGGGCCAGCAAGCACTAGTATTCCGCCTACATGGGTTTGCCAAGGTTTTTCCCCAATGACACCCGTATGGGCCAGCCCGTATTTTGCCCATTATGAGCGTGCCCAGGTTTATCCCATATGACGCCCTCATGGGTCAGCCCGTATTTTCCCCATATGGGTTTGACCAGGTTTTTTCCCAAAGACACCCATATCGGCCAGCCTGTATTTTGCCCATAAGAGCGTGCCCTGGTTTATCCCATATGACGCCCACATGGGTCAGCCCGTATATTTCCCACATGGCCTTGCCCAGTTTTTTCCCGAATCATACCCATATGGGCAAGCCCGTATTGTGCCCATATGAGCGTGCCCAGGTTTATCCCATATGACGCCCACATGGGTCAGCCCGTATTTTCCCCACATGGGCTTGCCCAGCTTTTTCCCTAATGACACCCATATGGGCCAGCCCGTATTTTGCCCATATGAGCGTACCCAGATTTATCCCATATGACGCCCACATGTGTCAGCCCGTATTTTTCCCACATGGGCTTGCCCAGCTTTTTCCCTAATCACACCCGTATGGGCAAGCCCGTATTGTGCCCATATGAGCGTGCCCAGGTTTATCCCATTTGACGCCCACATGGGTCAGCCCGTATTTTCCCCATATGGGCTTGCCCAGCTTTTTCCCTAACGACACCCATATGGGCTAGCCTGTATTTTGCACCATATGAGCGTGCCCAGGTTTATCCCATATGACGCCCACATGGGTCAGCCCGTATATTCCCCACATGGGCTTGCCCAGCTTTTTTCCTAATGACACCCATATGGGCCAGCCCGTATTTTGCCCATATGAGCGTACCCAGATTTATCCCATATGACGCCCACATGGGTCAGCCCGTCTTTTCCCCACATGAGCCAGCCCAGCTTTTTCCCTAATGACACCCATATGGGCCAGCCCATATTCTGCCCGAATGGGCTTGCCCAGTTTCTTCCCATATGACACCCATATGGGTCAACCCATTTTCTAGCCCATATGGGTTTGCCCAGTTTTCCCTCATATGACACCCATATGGGAAAGCCCAGGTAGAGCCCCATATGGGATAACCCATATGGGTCCCATATGGGATACATAGAGGTTTGCCCATACCCAGGTTGCCCAGATACTTCCCATATGGGCCCCATATATGGGCTTGCTACCTGGGTATGATGTCATCTATGTTAAGAGACAGAAATCCTGTGACTTGAAAATTCCAATGCTTGGTTCTTGACGTATTTCTGGTTGAAATTTATAATGTGCCCATTTTCAAGGCCCATTGTAGACGGTTTTATGGCTCGGGTTCTCATATTTCCCGCTCAGAACTCTCAGGCTGTATCATTTTGGGAAAACAAGTTATCCGATATTTTGGAACCAGTTTTGTTTTTATCTAGAGGGGAGCGGCACATTTTATGCTCAAGGGGGGCACATTTATGTCCGCAGGAGGGGCACTTGGGAAAATCTAAGGAGTGTTACCCCGGTTTTGCCGCCCTGTGCCCGAACTAGGGACAACTAAGACGTACTAAATAATTTATTTCCCGACACTGTCGATGATCGCAATTTTTCCTAGACATTGAAGTTCTACAACATCGCTTTTTTTTTCGCGACATGAAATTCACTATAAATGTTTGGTGGTGTACGATAATGATCATCGGGAATGCAACGAAATAAATGGAGAATTATTTTTTTTTTCTAATAAAGGTATACGGTGTGTGGGTGGATTATGATTGACCGATCCAGTAAGCACTGCCCAATGGTGTTCTGACCAATCACAGCCGTGACTTATATGTCCGACGTGCTCGCAAAAAAGTCACGCGCGTATGATGCACGCGGCAAAAAATGCAGTGTGGCATTGGATAGGAGCACTTGTTAATTTGCCCAGTGCGCAGTGGGCGGGGTTTAATGGATCGGTCCATTAATCCGGTTCGCCTAATAATAACGCCAAAGAATGGACTAATTCCAGCCCATTGTGCGATAGACCATGCAGATGCATGAAAAGAAAATAATTGTGTGCTCCGGGACCAGCAAGTTTTGCCAAACTTAAAACTTGCCGAGTGAAAATAAAGTGCGCCCTCTGCCTAAGCGCCTTTTAGGGTTTTTTGGTCAGACTGAGCAATCCCTGGATTTTGATCGACTGGCTTTATTTGAAGGCAGAGGGCGCACTACATTTATTTCCAGAAAGCTCTGTGCGTGTGTACGTGTGTGTGTGGCGCATGTGGTCGAATATCACAAAGAAACTCTCGAGTTAGGCCTAATTAACGCGTTGTACTTTCGTTTTGTTCATTCAAGTTTTTCAACACCAAGATTCAGGAAGTTGTAAACAATAGGTAAGAATGGCTCTCCTTGGTAGACGTGTGGGTTAAACGATTATTTCAGGCAGTAATTTCCCCTAGGCCTATTTTCATGATTTTAATATTAATCGCAGTGGCTATTGTTACGGCAGCCGTAACGCATTTCCTATTTTCTATCTTTACGGTAGACTGCAACTTTTATAAAAACATTACAAGAAAATATCAAATTAGAAGGAAAAAAGTGAATTTGAACGTTATGAAATTCGGACTTTAGGCCCTATTTCCCTTTTAAAAAAAATCCTCCAAAGCCTCAGGTTAGAAAAGGAAAAAAAATTCGAGTGCAAAACTGAGATTTGAACCCACAACCTCGCGGTGCAAAATCCTACCCTCTATCGACTGAGCTGTCGCACTGCTCCCTAACTGTGTGGAAACAAATAATTATATACCTGCGTGCGTATCAAAAAAGTATCGTAGAGGGCGCTATACAACGACTGCCGTAACGATAGCCACTTCGTTTATTAATTGCTGAACCTCTCCTTCATGTCCTTAACTGTTTAAGCGGTTCATTTTACATATATAGCCATGGCCGGCTAGGCTTAGTCACCCAACAGCTGACAGGTCAGTGGACTGTTTTGTGTGTGATGTGCTACTGACCCGACTGCTGTTTTTTCATGTCCTAGTCCAACTTAGCCCCATAAATGTGGCCTATTTACTGGACTGCCTCCTTAAACATAGGCCACACATGTACAAAAACGTGTCGACTTTGCCAAATTTAGATTTTCACATTTAGGCTTACTTTGTAGGTTTTTTTTGCTTTAGAAGCATTCTCACCCTCCATATAGGCTAATCAGAAACTGCTGCCTTTTTCAGATGTAAAATTTTTGTGAAATTTCATGTTGAAATTTTGATACGCAAACGTGTGCAAATGTATCTGGAAATTTCACGAAAAATGGACATCTGAAAAAGGCAGCACTTTCTGATTAGCCTATGTAGAGGGTGAGAATGCTTCTAAAGCAAAAAAAAACCAAAAGTAAGTCTAAATGTGAAAATCAAAATTTGGCAAAGTCGACACGTTTTTGTACATGTGGATGTGTGGCCTATGTTTACGGAGGCAGTCCAGTAAATAGGCCACATTTATGGGGCTAGTCCTAGTCCAACTCAGCATGAATAAGCAAGGTGCCTTGTGATTGGCTGTTCTGATCCCCAAAATAGGCGATTCCCCCCCCCCCCCCCCACCGCATTGACTATGAATGATGTGGCCGGCCATAACAACTGTTAGTTACTAGTCTCGTTCTATAATATTACACAGGCACGGTGCCCTCACACGTGTACGTACAAGAAAGGGGATTCTGTTGGTCGGGGAATCAGACAAGTTTTACTGAACTTGTCTGCCCGCCCGCCGTGAACTTCCATTTTGGTTGGCAAATGATTAAAGCTATAGTCCATCATTTGTAATTTGTGCATGTTGTTCGATTGAAGCAACAAAAGAGTTCAAAATCTAATAAAGGATACTAAGCAACTAACCTGATAAAGTTTCAGCTAAGCTTCAGCTGTCCATTCCGAGAAAAGCAGCATTCTAAGATCTCAATTTCAAATGAAAAGTTACTGAATCATGTTTTGAATTGCAGCTATACGCGACGTCGCGCACTGATCCGACGAATTATAACAACCGCGCGCGCGTGTGCGTCGTTCCAATACTTGTGCGCGCTGCGCTGAATAACCAAACGAACTACTAATTTAAATTTTCCTACGGTGCTTCTTAAGAATCACCGTCGGAAATGCCTTCTTTCGTTGATTACTTCAAAATTTAAATTTTCCTACGGTGCTTCTTAAGAATCACCGTTGGAAATGCCTTCTTTCGTTGATTACTTCAAAATGACAGCTTCCCGGAAAGAATAATTTCACAGGGAGTTTAGTTCCCTTACTATCTTTCAACTAAGTTGGTTTTTCAACAATAATTACGCCAGTTACTTTTCGGATGGCTGCAAATGATGGACTATAGCTTTAAGAGACAATTTTTTTTCAAAAAGGAAGCACGGGAAGTCCTTATTTTGGTTAAAAATTTGGATGTACATGTATGGGTAAGTGAACCCACATGCCGAGTATTAGCCCCATAAATGTGGCCAATTTACTGGACACGCTGGACTACATGTACCTCCGTAAATAAAGGCCACACTTCCACCATGTACAAAAACATGTCGAACTTTGTCAAATTTTGATTTTCACATTTAGGCTTACCGGTAGTTTGTAGCTTTTTTTTGCTTTAGAAGCATACTCACCCTCTTTATAGGCTAATCAGAAAGTTCTGCCTTTTTCATGTTTTCAGATGTCTAATTTTCAGGAAATTTCATGTTGAAAAATGATACGCAAACGTGCGCAAACAAATCTGGTTTATTTTTTGCTTGGCCTAATATTTAAACCATGAGCTAACTTTCTTAATTGTTATACAGATAATATAAGTTATCTAGACTAAGTACATATAGGCCCTGGATCTAACATGTTATGTTTTAATACAGACAAGAAGGACATTTGAATCCCCTGAACAACAATTGTTCCAAATGTAATAAAAACCCATAGTATCCCTTTACTCCCGTGTGGAGTACTGTGGCCTCGTGGTTAAGGGCACTGATTCGTGGCTTGCGGGTAAAGCTGCAGGTTGTGGGTTCGAGTCCTGGCGGGGTCATGGTGCGTGTGCCCTTGGGCAAGGCACTTTGTCACTCATTGCTTCTCTCCACCCAGGAGTAAATGGGTACCTGTGAGGGCAGAGATGGTTATTGTGATTGAATTAGCTTCCTTGCGCCTAACAGGCTGCATCGAGCTGTATACTCCCCAGGGAGCTGAGATGGTATTTGGAATGTTTCATGTGCCCAATGAGCAGGGGTAATAATGATGTAGCGCCTTGAGCACCAGTCCTGGTGGATACGTGCGCTTTATAAATATCCACTATTATTATTATTATTTACTATAACAAAATCAAAACGATTGCCCCCGTTCATGCAGGAAGCTGAAATGGCCGTTGAAAATGTGGCAGACGATTCACAGAAACACCCCCTCGCTGGGACCGGCGAGGACATCACCCCTGACAAGGATGGAGGAGTCTTAAAGGCCATTGTGAAAGAGGGTGATACCACTGGGGAAGAACGGCCCATGAAGGGGGATACAGTCTACGTGCATTATGTTGGGACTCTCATGAACGGGGAAGAGTTTGACTCGAGTCGGAGGAGGAATGAAAAGTTTTCTTTCAAATTGGGAGAAGGTAATTATTTACGTGTATTCTAACAACAGGAGATTCCATTTAACCCAAACCACCCTGAATCCTTCAAAATCCTCTTTGCCAAAGTGGAGAAATTTGGAGGATTGAGGTTACATGGCGAAAGTGCATGACTGATGTTATAGGGCCTGGGTTATGCTTGAAATCCTCCGTACTGCTCCAGGATGTCACTGGCCAAGCCTCAACACATTGACAGGCACTGCTGCAGGATTTTGCAGGATTCAGGCAGTGGTCACCCTTCCACAGACCATATTCAAGAAATAATGGAGGAATTTGCAGGATTGAGGCTATATGCTATTTTTCCATGAGGCCAATTGGAGGATTTTGCAGGATTGAGGCTGCATCCTAGCAAAAAGACCTAGGGAGTTAGGGTTAAAGCTTTTGCTGTAATTTTCAGAAATGGATGGATTTGGGCGTTAGTATTTTATAGCAAATATTGTTTCACTGACCTGTTTAAAGCTTTGTGTTCATAAATGCTGAAAAGTGATGTTCTTGTAGTCTGGTTCCTTGAGCTTACTTCAGATGGAAAAAAGAGCAATTTATAGACTTCGGGGAATTGTCCGGTCAGGGAACCAGTCCAGCTGTCTTGCACCTGTTTACGGATGTGTGACAAATTGCAAACACAATGTGGACCTACTAAATTTGGTAAATTGGGGGCAGTAGGCCTATTTGAAAAAAGTCTGTTATTTCATAATTTTCCCACGATGGTCGGCCTACATGTACCATCGTTGGAAATTGATACAGAAATACCACTTTCTTGAAAATGACAGCACAACAGGTGCCATGATTTCACAGGATGCTTGAGACTATTATTCACTTACAGTCTACCGGGTAGAAAGGAATTTCATAAAAAATTTGGTAGGTGTTAGTTAATGTATGCCAAGGTTGTTAATGTGTTTTTTTCAATGAACAAAGATAAAGTGTAGCTCAAGTAAAAATATTTTTTTTTTTAAAGTGTGGTTTGCTCCGACCTTTTCACTGAACGGTTTGTCTTGCAGGACGAGTGATCAAGGGCTGGGACATAGGCGTGGCTACAATGAGAAGGGGGGAGGTGTGCGTTCTCACCTGTAGTGCAGACTACGCATACGGCAAAAATGGTGAGTTGTTTCAGTTTACAATTCCTGTTCCCTCCCCTACCAATTTTAACCAGTTCGCGCCGGGATTATTTTGACAAGAATGGAATGAGGCCCGGGATTTCTTTTCACTCGACCTCAAGCCAGGCGGGTTGAAGCCATCACCCTCGGGCAGCACACTCATATTTCCAGCCTCGCTCGCTGCAAGCGGGTCACTGACAGATATTTCCGGCCTCACTCCCTGCGTGTTCATCTGTCATCCGTTCCGAATACCGCCAAACTTTTGCCTTAATACATGTCATCCGGCGTGAACTGGTTAACAAGACTAGGCTTGGACCAAATACAGGCTTTCAAATATTCCTACTTTTCCAACTTTCTCCTTCTTGCTCCTATCTTTCCTACTTTTTTCTTGAAATTCCTACTTTTTCCTACTTTTCTGTTCCACAACTCCGAAAAATGAAATCTCATTGAATAATTTTCATAACAGTGTTACACACAGTCATGTACATGTATGTAATCACACAATGAAGGGCTTGGGTGCAGGAGTACTGCAACTGTACTTCCAAGAGCTTAGTTGAGGATGGAGCACAAGTATTGTGAGTACAGAACATGCCAAATGAAGCTTGTGGACATTGGCAAGTATCAACGAAAACTGCTCCTGAATGTCCGCACAAGTCCCATTTTTATGATGAATTTTTTTTTAAATTTATTTATTTATTTTGACAACATCCGACAGCACAAGCACCAGAACAGGATAGATAAGACTTGGTAGAAGATGTGGAAGGAAATAACAAGTTTTAGAGGTGGGAGGAAAACCCCAGAATGATATTCTAGGAAAACCCACGGAATCAGGTAGGGACTGAAAACCCAATCCGCATATTGGCCCGGGCGGGATTCGAACCCGGGGTCACAGCGGTGGAAGGCGAGGAAAGTACCGCTACGCCAACCTGATCCCAAGTTGCTTATGATGACTTTGCTTTGTTTCCTGATAGGTCAAGGCAAGATTCCGGCCGATGCGACGTTAGTCTTTGAGGTGGAGCTCTTTGATTGGTCAGGAGAAGACCTGAGTGAGAGTAAAGATGGCGGCATCATGCGACGAGTGATTAAGGAAGGGAAGGGAATGGACAAAGCGACAGATGACTCTAGCGTTGATGGTAAATTCTGACCTTTTGCTATATCTATTTCACCTCCAGATCCAAATGTCAGCTTTAACCCTAACTCCCTAGGCATTTTTGCTAGGATACAGCCTCAATCCTGCAAAATCCTTTAGTTGGCCTCATGGAAAAAAACATTTAGCTTAAATCCTGCAAATTTCTCCATTATTTCTTGAGTATGGTCCGTGGAGGGGTGACCACTGCCTGAATCCTGCAAACTCCTGCAGCAGTGACTGTCAATATGTTGAGGCTTGGCCAGTGACATCCTGGAGCAGTACAGAGAATTTCAAGCATAATCCAGGCCTATATTTATGCATGGCTGAGCAAAAACAACACAAGGTCCGGCCAAAGACCTTGGCAAAGGGCATCCTACTAAATCAGTAACGCACTTGTGCCGTGTAACCTCAATCTTCAATATTTCTCCGTTTTGGCAAAGAGGATTTGAAAGATTCAGGGCGGTTAGGGTTAAACCACCAGCCCCTGCTTTACTCCCTGTTGAAAATAAAACCTTACAGTGGTCCGATATCTTGAGGCTAATGGTTTTCCACTAACCAAACCAGTAGATGTTTTAGAAAAATGGCTGAGTTGTTGGCAGGGGCGTAAATCTCAGGGGCCGGCACAGATTTACGGCACTGGCTGTTGAGACATTTTAACAATCTTTTAAACCAGCATCTAAACCTTCCAGAGAAACCGCCATGCCTGTCTCATCTTAGAAATTGTGATTGTGGTAGAGTGTCCTGCTCAAGAACACAACATTCACAACTCTGGGGTCAGAATCTTGCAAGAAATACAATCAGAAATTAATGAACAAGTAACAATCTTATTGTTTGTATATTATTTATTTATTTTTAATATTTTGTTTTCCTCTTTCAGTTCATATTGTCGGCAAGCATGGCGATACCGTCTTTGATGAACGTGACGTCAGCTTTCTGATGGGAGAAGGTACCATAAACACAAGATTTATCGTGGCATCATTCATAAAAACAAAAAAATGTAAAATCTAACAAGATTGCTCTTTTTCACTTTTTAAAAGACAATGTCAAAAAATAAAGTTGGGTTCTTGTTCGCAATCAGGTTGTGAACACAACATTCCAGAGGGTTTAGAGAAAGGTCTGTCCGAGATGCTGGACGGAGAGACGTCCCAATTCACGATTCTGCCCAAGTATGGATTCGGAAGCCAAGGTTGTCCGGAGTTGAATGTTCCTTCCAATGCCACTCTCAAGTACACCGTCACTCTCAGCAAATTAGTCAAGGTATGTTTAGATTTATAATGAATATGGTCATGACTTTTCAACCAGGCGGTTTTGGAGGATTATAGGATAATTGTCAAAAAAATGTTGGTTGATTAACCCTAACCCCTTGGGTATATTTACTAGAAAATATCCTGAATCCGCCAAAATCCATCAATTTTGTCATTCACAAAAATGTTAGTGGCAAGTGAGTCCATCAGGTTCCTTATGCAATATGATTCACGGTCAATTTTAATGGAAAAAAAAAAATAACGATTATTTCTTTAAAAAAATGTAGCCTAGTTGATTATATGGTAAGTTTTATTGGAAACTTAATTTGAGTATATTTGCAGGGTATAACTTTGGGAAAACTCGTATACACTCATATAATTTGGACATTTTATGCCACCATAGCGCCAGCATATGTTGGTACAATGTCGCCAATATGCGAAGACTAGTGGATGTCTCACACTGCGCATGTGCAGCAAGTATAGCCTGTAAGTGAATTAAGTGACTACACAGGCAATAGGCTATGAACATATACGTGTGTAGGATCTGAACCCCAGACACACACTGTGCTGTTTGTGTTTTTGTAGGCCAAGGAATCCTGGGAGATGAACGCTGCAGAGAAGCTGAGCGCAGCTGAGAGATCCAAGGCGAAAGGAACGGAGTATTTCAAGGTAAGGGATCTGCAGAAGTTAGGTAATGATTCTTGAAAAAACTAAATTTCTAACCCTCAGAAATGTTCAGTTTTGACTCTTTTCATGTAGCAAGCTATATAGACCTGAAGAATAGATGACGTTTCTTAATCACTCCTGGAAGTTTCTGGGGAAGGGACACCTGCAGAGTGAGTCAATAAGAAAGTGACTGAATTTAAAAAAAAAAATTAAAAAATTAAGACTTACTTCATTGGTGTATCAAATTTGATTGCTTTTCAAGAAAGAAAAACATGAATCCAGGTCACTTTCTTTTTGACTCACCCTGTAGTGTGGAGCAAGCAATTGTGTAGTTTAACTTGGAATGAAGGCTTGAAAAGTGGTGTTTATTAGGGCTGTGCAGTTTCAAATAATTTAGCTTCGATTATTCCAACTTGACAATGATCAAGTTAAACAAAAGTCATCGGCATAGCCAGCAGGAGGGTAAGGGCGATATTTAATCCCCCCCCCCCCCAATAATTTGTAAAGACTGCCCTTTTCCATTCAAATGCCCTTTTTTCCACCAGTGCTTACCCCCCTCCATCAATTTTAAAAAAAAAGTGCACTTAAAAAAAAAAAGTTGTGCCCTTTTTTGTACCATCGGCTACGTCCCTGAAAGTTTTAGGTAAACAGAGGTATCGGCATGTGCGGGTATTCTAAGGTAGGAGGTATTTGCGTACATAAAATCCTATTCTCTTGACAGGAATGGGGTATTACTTCGTGATAAACAGAGTTTCGAGGTAGCAAACTTTGTGGTAACGTTTACTGTACTTTGTTCACGTCAACAGGCGGGTAACTTCCAGAAAGCCATCAAACAATACAAGAAGGTTGTGGATTTCTTGGACTCGGACTCGGACTTCTCAGATGAACAGAAGACGACATCCAAGGAGATCCTTTTGGCCGGACATCTGAACCTAGCTATGGCGTACATCAAGAGTAAAGACAATGCTGAAGCTATCAATTCGTGCGACAAGGTAGGGGATAGGTGGGGTTAGTAACTGTCTGTGTGTCCATTTAATAATAATAATAATAATAATAATTTGGGAGGCTAATCATCCTTACTCGCAGCTGGAATGCTGAATTGCGAAGGACGCGGCTACAACGTGGTCGGGCCGCTGGCACGTAAAGGCGCCTATGGCTGCCAGCCACATCGACCCATATATGACCATGGAGCACAGCCTGAGATCGAAAGTGTTTGATTTTTCCGGAGGGAGGAAAACCGGAGAAAAACCCTCGTGGCACAGGAGAGAACCAACGCACAACTCTACTCACATGTGATCCGCGGCCAGGATTTGAACCGTGGTCACCTTGGTGAGAGGTGAGCGCTTTACGCGCAAGCCACCCATGCCACCCAAAAGGGAATATACAACATTTGCAAATATTAAAAAAACAAAACTACCAAATTATCTTGAAATACCTTGCTGGACCGTTAGTGAATGTCAGTCTAAAGCATCCTGTAAAATCATGACACCTGGTGGGCTGTCATTTTCAAGAAAAGTGTTATTTTTGTATCAAATAGACCAATGTTCCCACACGAAACACCTGACGTTCCCGGGCTGTTTCCAGTTGGAACGACGTATGTTCCCAATTGGAACAGGTGATGTTCCCCAGTGGAACGCTCCAAGCGTTACGCTCCAAGCGTTCTGACGTTTGAGACGTTCCTGCAGTCACAATGTTTTTGTGTTTTGTCCAGGCCTTGGAGCTAGACGCCAATAACGTAAAGGGGCTGTTCCGGCGAGGTCAAGCCCACTTGGCCCTGTCGGATCCCGTCTTGGCCAGGAACGATTTCCGTCGGGCAGTTGAGCTGGACCCCGAGAACAAGGCCGCTAAGAACCAACTGACGATATGCCAGCACAAGATTAAACAAGCCGTGCAAAAGGAGAAGAAAATCTACGGTAACATGTTTGAGAAGTTTGCTGAGCAGGATCGCAAGGTTTGTTGAAATTTTTATCCTCCACAATTTAATTTACTGTTTGTAATGATGGGGTACTAAAATATTCAAAATATCAACTTAAACCCTTACCGCCCTGAATCCTTCAAAATCCTCTTTGCCTGTCTGCCAAAGTGGAGGAATTTGGAGGATTGAGGTTACATGGCAAAAGTGCGTAACTGATTTCATAGGATGCACTTTGTCAAGGTCTTGGGCTGGACCTTGTGTTGTTTTTGCCCAGCCGTACATACATGTACATGTAGGCCTGGATTATGCTTGAAATCCTCCGTACTGCTCCAGGATGTCACTGGCCAAGCCTCAACATATTGACAGTCACTGCCGCAGGATTTTGCAGGATTCAGGCAGCGGTCACCCCTCCACGGACCATATTCAAGAAATAATGGAGGAATTTGCAGGATTGAGACTACATCCTAGCAAAAAGGCCTAGGGAGTTGGGGTTAAGTCTTTTCGTTGTGTGGATTGTCAACTGGAACTGCAGATGCTTTCAAAACGGTCCCTCAGTAACTAACAACACCCCTAATACCCCTTGGTTCACCCAATTCAACCCAATGCCCTTTTGATTGAGGTGGATTGTTCCATTACATAAAGAGGTACCTCATCTTCCATTTGCAGGCTGAAGCAGCGAAAATGACCAGTAAGCCCCCTCCCGACTTTGGCGGCGTTTTCAGCAAGGAAGAGGTACAAGCAGCAAGCGAGGTAGAAAATGAGACATCAAACAGCGGTGATGCACCCAACGATGCACCCAGCGATGCACCCAGCGATGCACCCAGCGATGCACCCAACGATGCACCCAACGATGCACCCAGCGATGTACCCAGCGATGCACCCAGTGATGCACCCAGTGAAACAAAAGCAGAAGGCACGGAAGAGGTAGAGGTATAAGGATAGCCCTACAACTGTTTCATGTGTTATACTGACCATTGTGAAATTTTATATGGATTACTCTGGAGCAAATCTTAGAAATCTTAGAAAACCTGTGCAAAAATAAAACCAACAAAAAAAGCATGTAAATTAGAAATATACGTGTAGTGATAGACAATTTCTGAATTGAGCTTTATAAAGGTAGGATATATTATTTGTCATTTGTGCATTTTTTTTTTTTGAAGCAACAAATTGCTCAAAATGTCAAGACGGGTGCACTGATAACAACTCAATAACCTGATGAAGTTTTAGCTCTGTGAATGCTGTATTTCCAAGAAAACAATATTCTAGGAACTTGGTTTCAATTCAAAAGTCGCCGAGTCATGTTTTGAATTGCGCCCGAAATCAGCGTCTGGGACTCGTTCTCATTCAACCGATCGCAGCTTTGCGATGTCACACACTGAGCCAACAAAGAGTGTGCTGTGTCAAAGCGTGTGGCACCCATTCACGGATTTGCCGAATTACAAACCAACTACTAACGGAAATTTCCAAAAATGCATCACATGACTCATCTTTGGAAATGACCTTCTGTTATTGTTTTCTTTAAAATGACAGCATGCTAGAAAGAATAGTTTCACAGGGAGTTTATGGCCATGACGAGCTTTAAAGGGAATGTACAACATTTGCTTTTGCTCCAATTTTCAGAAATAAATGGATTTGGAGGATTAGTATGTTAAAGCAAATATTGTTAAAATGACTTGTTTCACGTTTTGGGCTTGTAGATGCTGGAAAAATGAAGAAGACCATTCATGTTCATGTAGTCTGGTTCCCTGACCCCACTTAAGATGAAACAGAGAATGTATCGACTTTGGGGAATTGTGAGGTCAGAGAATCAGTCTAGCAGGCTTGTACCCCTTCACAGGTGTGTAATCCATTGCAAATAGTTTTTGCAGCAAGGAGTTTGCAAGCTGTTTTAAAAAAAAAGCCAGTTTTCTCCAACGCTGGTCGGCCGACCATCGTTGGAAAAATACCATTTTTCTTGAAAATGTCAGCACACCAGGAGCCACGATTTTACAGAATGCTTTAGACTGTCATTCCCTAACAATCCAGTAAGGTATTTCGTGATAATTTTATCATTTCGTCTTGAGATGTTTGCAGATGTTGTATATTCCCTTTAAACCAAGTAAGCAGTTCGACAATAATTTCATTAGTTACGGTTTGGATAGCTGCAAATGATCTCCAGTATACTCTACCTTTAATTTGATTGCAAAGCTTTAGTTGTCTTGAAAATTTGAAATACTTTGTCTGGAGTAACTGTGTAACAATTACCCATTTGTAAATTTTGAAGGATTTGTAATTGCAACTCTGGGATTTGTGATTTGAAACTTCCAAAGTTGGGCGTCGGCTTTATATTCATGCTTAGCATTCCTCAAGTCGAGTTGTTGGAAATAATGGAATTGGTTTCGAGAAATCGACCTTTCAAGAAATTGTGTTTCTCTATTAAGTAAAGAATTTGTTTTGTATTTTATTTTTTATGTTTTCTAAGGAATTTGTTTGCCAATGTTTTGAAGATGAGATAGAGTTAAAGCTATAGTCCATCATTTGTAATTTGTGCATTTTGTTCGTTTGAAGCAACGAAAGAGTTCAAAATCTAATGAAGGATACTGAGCAACTAACCTGATGAAGTTTCAGCTAAGCTTCAGCTGTACATTCCGAGAAAAACAGCATTCTAAGATCTCAATTTCAAATCAAAAGTTACTGAATCATGTTTTAAATTGCAGCTATACGCGACGTCGCGCACTGATCCGACGAATTATAACAACAGCGCGCGCGTGTGCGTCGTTCCAATACTTGTGCGCGCTGCGCTGAATAACAAAACGAACTACTAATTTAAATTTTCCTACGGTGCTTCTTAAGAATCACCGTTGGAAATGCCTTCTTTCGTTGATTACTTCAAAATGACAGCTTCCCAGAAAGAATAATTTCACAGGGAGTTTAGTTCCCTTACTATCTTTCAACCAAGTATGTTTTTCAACAATAATTACACCAGTTACTTTTCGAATGGCTGCAAATGATGGGCTCTAGCTTTAAGTCCTAATGACGTAATGGCTTTGTTTACATATGCGCTTTCCTGTGGGAGCGAAGTCGGGACGCCAGACGAAGTAGGGACTGTCTACCACATAGGAACGCGCACAAGTAAAATCCCTCGAGTCCCACGAAGTTTCTGATGATAACTTAAGATTAACTTAAGATTTCCAAAGTATTTGATCCGAATCATTATATAAAATACACAAAGCTGTAATGTTGACTACGCATTGCCCCCCCAAAAAATATGTAAACAGAAATAAAATTGACTTGATGTCTCGTGATCTCACAATATCCTCATGACAAATCAAATTGTCCTTGCAGTCGAATTCAATCAAGTGACTGTTTTCAACAGTTAAGAGTTCCCAGCCTACACGAAGCAGGATTGACTGGCTGTGACTGTTTATGTAACTTAATACAGCTATGCTTTGACTGTAGGTGATTGATAAGCCAGCTGTGCCAACCACTTGCCTGCTTTTGTCGGTTGACTGAATTTGACTAGTCAAAGTGCTTGCTTGAAATATCCGACTGTAAAAGGCATGGCAGGGGAAGAGGATTGATTTTTTGATTGTCTTAGGAAGTTCGTATAGGAAGGTTAACTAAGAAAGAATATTGTTTCCACCGTCAAAATGTAATAGTTTTTCTTTTGTAAGTGTTTAAATTTTAAATGACCAATTTGAATGGAACAGATCCATTAAGTTAATCAGGATGCAAATAATGTCAATGTGCATTATACGAGAACGAAATTTACGTCAATAATATTATTCAAGAATAAAAACCAATGTCTTGGATGCATAAATACATGTAGTGTGAATTGTCTGACTGTGTACAAATATAAAACAAGTCTTGTATGAATCCCTTCTGAAGCCAAGCCCCCCCCCCCCCCACCCCCAACTTTGCCAATTTCCTGAAATGACCATTATTTGGCCCCGCCCACTTTTGGTTCGGGACAAAGGTACCGCAGTCACTTATTGGATAAGCGTAGTGATTTTATTGGGCAAGGTTTAACAAAAATTAATGTCCTTAGTTTCCTACTCCCAAAGTACATAATATTATACAAATAATGAATGCTTCGAGTGGTGGGCATTCTATTTTCCCGAGGCGAAGACGAGGGAAAATAGAATGGTCCATGGATCACCGAGGGAGGCTAGTTCTACTTCACCACGAGATAAAGCATTCAATATTTGTTTTATAACACTTCACCCACAAATTCTGCTTGATTTTAATATTTCAAATTATTTAAATCTGAACACAGTTGAAATAAACTTCAATTTCAATACAAAATTCGTGGAAAATGTATTTCTCTCTTCCAAACTACCCCTTCACGAAATGTTTGAACCCAAGTCTGCGGCGCCCTCTCTCTGGAACGATACACGCAACGCGCACACAAGCATCCATTTGCAGGCAAATACCGCGCTGTGGAAATAGTACTTTGGTTGCCAATGGTATAGTACTTTGGTTGCTACGGGTATAGTACTTTTGGCCGTGCACAGAAAGATAGCAAAATTAGAAAGTAACATGTGACTCGCTCTCGGCCAATCAAGACACAGAATCTGTGGGTGAGGTGTTATAAACGTGTATATGGTACAGAGTATTTCATATTGATAGATTTACATAACTACAGTTGACTCAAGTTAGTACAAACTCTGTTAATACAAAACCTGGTTATAACAAACATAAAGCCTTGGTCCCGACTGTGCATTTATGTGCACAATGAATGGGACTGATGTTCCTCTTAATACACAAATTCTGATATAACAAACAATTTGGCCAGGTCCGAACGAGATTGTTATAACAAGACTCGACTGTATATTAAACAAACACCATTCAATTTCAAGCAATCAGTTCCAATACTAGGATAAATATTTTATTCAGTTACAAGTGTTTTGGTGAGGTGTCTTACAGTGTATATATATTCAATGAAATGTACAACCAACTACACAGGTAAAACAATAAAGGTCACAGTTTAAACAGTCAACGAGTCTCTGCTGAAGAGACAACTTTTTGTGCTTTCCCTAAATAATACTTTTTTTCCTTGCCAATAAAAAAGTCTTCTGGAAATAATTTTCACAGCGCTTTTTGATTTATAGCAGGCAACTAAATCCATTATTTATAGGACAACAAATAATACGGGGGCGATTGCTGCCCTCAGTTTGAATTTAAAGGTCATTTAAGGTCATTAGCCCCCAGAGCTGTAAAAGGCATTTTGAAGTAATCTTACACAATGAAAATCAAATCAAATTAGGTTTTGCCCTTCAACGACGTTTTTTTTTACACTGTATACTCAGTGTGTTACCCCCCGAGTGAAAGTTGGAAAAAAATCACTCGGGAGGGACTCGAACCCACGACCTCCTGCTTTCTAGTGCAGATGTCTTACCACTCGACCATCGAGCTAGCGGGATCGGTTGGCCGGTTCGAATCTGATGTACATAGCAGCGGGTACCGCATAAACTAAAAATTCCATCTTATAATACAATGAAAATCAGTAAGCCAGCTCAGTATTTCAACTGGGCATGCGCATAATGATACGGGTCACAGGTCATACGGGGTTAAATGTGTAGGGAGACTAGCGCACGACGCTCGCCAATAAATACGAGCAGAATGCAATATTATCCAGAATGACCTTTGACCTGGACTACTTCATTGAGATACCAAACTGGCTAAGTTATTGGCCAAAAAAATATTCAGCTTCCGATTACATGACATTTGAAAATAGGATAAGTAGGTAGGGAACTATTGCAAAGTACATGAGTGATTTGAATGACTCTTCTACTAAAAGAAAGCTTATGAATTGGGCTTTCTTGTCCTAGATTTTGAAATTGCTACATGCAGAACTTCACTAAAACAGTGGTCCCGACATTTGGGTTTCGTTTTTTTAATCACCAGTATAATAATATTGCATTCGTCTTTGACTCGTGAAATATTGTTATAGCTCGTGTAATATATTCTTGTATCCCCCTCAAAGCCTATATTTATCCATAACACTCAAAAACAAAAACAAAATCACATTTAATAGTAATCACAATTACTCCAACCCTTCACCAGTAAAGCAAGCTAGGCCCCATCCAATACGTATATCAACATTCATAAGAGTGTAAAACTGGTATGCAGATTAATCAGCTACGTCATCACCACAGTCAAAATTAATCAAGTGATTATTTCTAACAATTAAAGGTATAGTCCATCATTTGTAATTTGTGCATTTTGTTCGTTTGAAGCAACAAAAGTGCTCAAAATCTAAAGAAGGGTGCTGAACAACTAACCTGATGAAGTTTCAGCTCAGCTTCAGCTGTATATTTCGAGAAAAATAACATTCTAGGATCTCGATCTCAAATCAAAAGTTCCTTGAATCATGTTTTGAATTAGGCCTAAATTCAGCGCCCGAGACACGTTCTCATAGAGCCGACTGCAGCTACGCGATGTCCCGCACTGATCCGATGAATTATAGCAACCACACGCGCGTGTGCGTCGTGCCAACGCTTGAGCGCGCTTCGCCGAATAAAAAAGGGAACCACTGACTGAAATTTCCAACGGTGCTTCTTAAGACGCACCGTTTGAAAGGCCTTCTTTCGTTGATTTCTTCAAAATGACAGCTTGCCAGAAAGAATAATTTCAAAGGGAGTTTAGTCCCCTTACTATCTTTCAACCAAGTATGTTTTTCAACAATAATTACGCCAGTTACTTTTTGGATAGCTGCAAATGATGGACTCTGGCTTTAAGACTTCCCTTGTTAATTTGATATAGCCATGCTTTGACTGGAGGTGATTGACATGCCAGCTGTACCTACCAGTTACCTCTTTTGTCTGTTGATGGAATTTGACTAGTCTGTATACAAATGCATGGCAGGGGAAGTGTTAGAAATGTTTGACTGTCTGTGACTGATCAAACAATAAGAGGGTTAAATAAAAAAAAGCACAATTATTCAGAGTTGTCATATTGTCTATGTTAATTAATTATACATCTATTAACACGTTAATGTGCTTTAGTACTTGTATATTGCTGAAACTTTCTCCTTGTTCAGCTGCATGCTAAAATTACTTGTACATGGTAAATAATACCTTTTCCTCTTCAAAAATCCACCAAAACAATTCGTTACCATTTTCACCAACTGACAGGTACGCGCTGTGTACTGTCAGTTCGTGAAACCGCATAATCAATATATAATTTCAGTTTCACGAACTGACACCAGGGTGTTTGAGCGCACTTTTTTCACTGGTGCGTAGAATAATTTTGGTTTTCACAAACTGAATCGCAAACATGTGTCGGAAATACAATTCGGTGAAAAATGCTGAAATGAAAGGTTTGACACAAATTTACGAGATCGGTATACTTGTGGGTCAATTTGACAGATTTGGCGCTTTACAAGAATTAGTTATTATCATTATTTATTATTTGTGGACTACGACAAAAATATAATTAAAGTTTTTTGCTGGTGAAATTAAGACCGGTTTCAGCTTGTGAACACGAAAATGTACGGAGTGCGCGCACATGTAGTACCAGGTGTCAGTTCGTGAAAAACAAAATAACACGGTTCTGTAAAGTACTCCCACGTGCCGGGCACTCACGTGAAACTGAGTGTCCGTTCGTGATGTCGGTGACAAATTGCAGTAATCTACTCATTAAGGTAATGTGCATTATAAATAAACTGGCGAGTATAAAACATGTTTCCCTGCATTTTTGACAAACTAATTGTACCCTTAAATTAACATCTAATTCTTACCATAAACAGACCAATATTACGTATTATACAACAGCTGAATAAATCCCCGTCATTTGACTGGTAGGTTGTTGTTCACATGTCATTGAATTATCCGGCCGCACCGAAAAAAGAAAAGAAATTCTATTTCCACGGTAAATAAAAGTTCCATTACATGAACACATAATACACCGTAGAGGTGGTTACATCATACATTGTGTACGCTTAGTGGTCACGCATTACCTGGGGTGATATTTCGACACAAACCTGGACTTACGTAGCGATATTTAGGCCACAAAAAAAAAAGTCTCCGGTTTCTGGAATGCACGCGCGTCGCCATAGCCATGTGCGTCGGCAAAATGAAAAAGTGTTTGTTTTCAATGAAAGATGATGTCTCAAAACCGCCAAACTCACTGGTTTGACTGGAATCCTGCTGCTGCACAATTTTAACGTGTTTTTAGATGGGGTTACGATCGAGTATAAGCTTTATGTGGCCTCTCTGGACTCCCATATACTTGCACTAAAGTTAGTCGGGCACCATTTGCAGTCATCAGCCGACATTTGAAGAAACAAAAACGTAAAAAAAAAAATAGCCGCGTCGCCGCACCACTTTTGGGGCAAGCTCCATACCAGAAACTGGAGACTTTTTTTTTTTGGCCTAAGCTAGTTTCAACTAGAAAATCACCTGCATTGCCTGTACAAATCGTATGGTAAATATGGCGGACAAGACAATATTTGGAACCATCACGATAGGAGACGACCCCACATGATGACATCACTACGTATTTGTGGTTCTGACCAATCAGATGACAAGGATTTATTCAGGTGTTGTATAAAACAAATACATGATTATTTCACATTCATGCAATGGAAAGAATAATTTCATTCGGTGACAGATAGAATGTTCCATTCCACTCGGCTTCGACTCATGGAATGGAACACTCCATCTACCACCTCATGAAATTATTCTTACCATTGCACTCATAAACATTCATTTTTTTGTATACTATCAACCTCTCCTTCTCGTATTTATTCAAATTTCTTTCCCAAGCGATTCTTCAATATGACCGGTAGGATGGACACGACAGCCAGAACGGCCAAGACAATAACAGATGTCCAAGACACAGCGTCGCCATAGTGACTGAGCTGGTAGAGGGTGGTTCCCGCTTGGATTGCTACAAAAGACGGTGGTGCCACTCCTAAGGAAATCATAAAAAATATCAAAATTTTAGCATTTTTCTTATTAGTCTACTTTAAGCACTTGATGCCGGGATTATTTCTGGCCGACAAACACCATATTTGGAAAAGACAAGATATATCGGCCAAACTTGTAGAGTTTTGCATTTACGGGTAGTACAGGAACGGGGTATCAGATTGAAAAGAAAACACGGATACCCGGATACCGTTAAAGAAACCCAACCCCACAATTCAAATCTCTGAAGTTGCTGCTCAGATTGTTCATAAAGGTTAACACAATAATACTACCACATCTGTGTGTCAATACAGTACGGTTCAAGTGAGTTTTCTAGATTTATGGCGTAAACTGCAACTTTCGCGAGCTTCATAAACGTGAAAATATGTTTCGTTTTCCCATGTGGCTAGGTTTTCATTTTGAAGATTTCCCACAAATGACATTCAAAACCATACATTTTCATTGTCCGTGAAGTTACTAAGTAATTTGTAAAGTTGGTTAGGATACCAGATCCCACAATCTGGAACCTGTTCCTGACATCAACGGTTGGGTACTCAGGTAAAATTAAGTCAAACACTACAAAAATACATGTATACTGACTCTTGAGAGTCATTCTCACCGCAACTTAACCCTAAAGGGGCCGGGTTATTTTGACCATCTCTCAGCTGGGGGGGGGGGGGGGGGGGGGGGGGCGGATTCCGCCCCCCCTAAGATCTCGGCCATCAAGTGACGAAATTTTGAAACTCCGCACACGCATAGAGCAACTCTTCCTAAACATACCCAAGATATTTCATGACTATAGGTCAAAGGGTTTTGGAATTATGACTAATTAATTATTCATATCTACGAATGGCAATTCTGTTCTGTGTACACGACGTATATGTGAAATTTCAGTTTTCACGGTGTGTAGTGCTGGAAAATTTTTCGCTACGCGGCAACCCGTGGTCCAATTTTTATGTTTTTGGTATCAAAAGATGTGCAAAGCTCGAGGCTAAAAAGTTTTTTTAGAGGCTATCGAGGAAAATGTTGAAGGGGGGGGGGGGATTCCCCCCCGGCCCCTTTAGGGTTAATACATTGTGTGTGTTTTTTGCAACACTCTGAGCCAAGTTCAGCAGCCAAGTTCAAGTTTAACACACAATGTGTACAAAACCAATAGGAACCACTGACGTGTATACACATTTGCCGCTGGAGACTTGGGGAAAGCTTGGTGATTTAACCCGTCAGCCGCCTTTGCGAATATACAATGCCAGAATCTGATCGTGTTAACCGTGTTAACCATGTTAACATGTTCTCCGGCGTTAACTGGTTAAAAGTTAATTCCATCACATTGCGCACCACAGACTGTGGAGTACAGTTTAGAGGATGTGCAAAAACTCCCTAAAATTTGTCTAAACCCAATTGGAATATGCTAGACAAACGCAAGTAAGAATACCAACCTAGGAATGTTCCAATAAAAAATGGGGTGATGGGTACTTTCAGAACAGGCGATGTGATGTTAATAAACCAGTTGGGTAGAAACGGGGTGATGCGTAGAAAAATGATGTAGTTGAGTAAGTGCTGTCTCTGTTTGGCAACCTGATTGATAAACAGAAACAAAATCAAGACATGATGAAGAAATAAGAAAGAAGTCAAGATTGCACTGTTCTTGTGCTGCAGCAGAAAATGGTCTTATAGCCTGATAACCACTAGTCCGGGTATCACCCGTTGTCCAACAGGGCCCTCTCTCTGTCTCTGGTCGGACAATTTTGGATGCCGTGCACGAACAACAACAGACATAGAGATCTAATAAAAACTAAACACGACCTTGGCTCTCAAAACTGTCAGCAAAATGCTGCGCGAATAGAATACATTAACGCTCATCGTGGGCGTGACTTGAGCGCGCAAGAGGGCGTTGGCATTAAGCGCATTATATAAAATATTATGTGATGATCTTTCAAAGCCACAGGAAGTTCGCGTACCGTGTAACATTTCGTTACAGGCCACGTGACGCAACGTAAAATCACAAAAGATGTCGTGTCTAGGTTTTATTAGATGTCTTTGACAACAGCTTACCGAAGACCCGATAATTATGAAAGGCACCCGTTGAATGGTCAGAATCTCTAGGTCAAGACCCGGTCTTGCTTTGCGTAATTATGGTCTCATTGCAAGGGCATTGAAGTAAAAGCAAAACTCCATCAAGGAAATACATGCTCTGTGTCCTTAAGCAAGACACTTTGTTACAATTGCTTCTGCGTGCAAAGAATAAGTGAATGTTACAGACTTACCGTAGCTGACCAGCTTTCTACTCTATCTGGAATGTACTTCATGACCAGCCGCACACCCACGAGGTAGGACAATAAATAACAGTTGGACGCACCAATGGCAGAACACTGCACAAACAATAACAACAAAGAACTAGAAATGTGTTTGTGGACAAACACAAGCTGTTTCGGATATTTAAAATACTCTGTGCACATGATGAACACTTGATGAAGTCACTTCGAATGTCATCTGCCAAGTGAAAAGTCAATCAGACATATAGTGCCTAAGTATGACTTGAAGAAAAACGTGTACAAAACCTATGGGAAAATACATCTTTAATGTGAAGTAACCTTACACCTGATGATGTCACGATCACGAATTTCTTCTAGGACCATCTGTGGGTGGTAGTCTAAGTGTGTACCAAGTCTAACGTGGATCGGATTTACAAAAGTGCCAAAGTAGAATGTTTTAAAACGTGTACAAACCCTATGGGGAAAAATGCATCTTTAATGTGACGTAGCCCAACACCTGATGACGTCACGATCACAAATTTCTTCTAGGACCATCTGTGGGTGGTGGTCTAAGTATGTATCAAGTCTGAGGTCGATCGGATTTACAAAAGTGCCAAAGTGGAGTGTTTTATAACGTGTACAGACCCTATGGGGAAAAATACATCTTTAATGTGACGTAACCCAACACCTGATGACGTCACAATCTCAAATTTCTTCTAGGACCATCTGTGGGTGGTGGTCTAAGTATGTATCAAGTCTGAGGTCGATCGGAATTACGAAGAGGCCAAAGTGGAGTGTTTTAAATCGTGTACAAAACATATGGGGAAAAATGCATCTTTAATGTGACGTAACCCGACACCTGATGACGTCACGGTCACGAATTTCTTCTAGGACCATCTGTGGGTGGTGGTCTAAGTATGTATCAAGTCTGAAATCAATCGGATTTGAAAAAGTGGCAAAGTGGACTGGTGGAAGAAACGTGTGTTAAACCTATGGAGAAAAAGTCTGAAAAAGGAGAAAAAAAAAAAAAAAAAAAAAGAAACTAGAAATGTGTTTGTGGACAAACACAAGCTGTTTCGGATATTTGAAATACTCTGAGCAGGGGATGAACAATCAGTGATGTCACTATAAATGTCATCTATAACAGCACATTAAAATATGTACATGTCAAGTTACAACCAAATCGAATATTTTAGTTCTGTAGATATATAGACCTATAAAAGAATAAAATGCCCCTTTAAGGGACTTCACATGACATTTGATGATGATGCCACTTCAATTTCAATCTATAACACCTCCATGTGAATATGCATACCAAGTTTTAACCCAATCAGACTTGAACTTCCGAAGTTCAGTTTGAAGAAAAACGTATACAAAACCAATAGGGAAACAATGCATCTTTAATGTGATGTAACCTGACACCTCATGACGCAACGTTGACGAATTTCTTCTAGGACCATCTATGGATAGTGGTCTAAGTGTGTACCAAGTATAAAGTCGATCAAATTTACGAAAGTGCCAAAGTGTATGGTTTAAAGAAAAACGTGTACAAAACCTATGGGGAAAATGCATCTTTAATGTGAAGTAACCTTACACCTGATGACGTCACGATCACAAATTTCTTCTAGGACCATCTGTAGGTGGTAGTCGAAGTGTGTACGAAGTCTAATGTCGATCGGATTTACGAAAGTGCCAAAGTAGAATGTTTTAAAACGTGTACAAACCCTATGGGGAAAAATGCATCTTTAATGTGACGTAACCCAACACCTGATGACATCACGATCACAAATTTCTTCTAGGACCATCTGTGGGTGGTAGTCTAAGTGTGTACCAAGTCTGACGTCGATCGGATTTACAAAAGTGCTAAAGTGGAGTGTTTTATAACGTGTACAAACCCTATGGGGAAAAATACATCTTTAATGTGACGTAACCCAACACCAGATAACGTCACAATCACAAATTTCTTCTAGAACCATCTGTGGGTGGTGGTCTAAAAATGTATCAAGTCTGAGGTCGATCGGATTTACGAAGAGGCCAAAGTGGAGTGTTCTAAAACGTGTACAAAACATATGGGGAAAAAAGCATCTTTAATGTGACGTAACCTGACACCTGATGAGGTCACGGTCACGAATTTCTTCTAGGACCATCTGTGGGTGGTGGTCTAAGTATGTATCAAGTCTGAAATCAATCGGATTTGAAAAAGTGGCAAAGTGGACTGCCAGAAGAAACGTGTGTTAAACCTATGGAGAAAAAGTCTGAAAAAGGAGAAGAAAAAAAAAGAAAAAAAAAAATCTTAACGAAAACAAGAGCTGTTTCGGTGTGTACACCGAAACAGCTAAAAAAAAAATCTTAACGAAAACAAGAGCTGTTTCGGTGTGTCACCGAAACAGCTAAAAAAAATCTTAACGAAAACAAGAGCTGTTTCGGTGTGTCACCGAAACAGCTAATTAGGGAGATATCAAATTTGAAACCGTTATTCATTGCTGGCGTAGCAGCACTAACCTGGGTTCGAATCCCGTCTGGCCAATATGTGGATTGAGTTTTCAGTCCCTACCTGATTCCCTGGGTTTTTCCAATCATTCTGGGGGTTTTCTCCCACCTCTAAAACTGTAATTGCTACTCATTGTCTCCTCTCAACAGGTTTCTTCAGGCTTGCGAGCAACAGTGCCTAGGGCACTTTTAAGGAATCCTTAGTTTCATTACCAGAAATGATAAATAACTATGAGGCAAAAACTTGCTGCTCCGTTCGATGTAAACAAAAAGGGTTTTTCAACATTGTCTCTGTAAATATAAGACATTATGTGGAATTTCTGAGCCTCAAAGCTTTTAAAAGTCTTTTTAAGAAACAAGCAAATGCACTAAATTTTGATGACTTTCGGACAAATGTGTACAATACATTTTAAACATTTTTAGAGTAATTCTACTTTCTTACTATTAATTATTTTTGAATGTAGTAACCATGAATAACTTACCAGACAAACCAATAGCAATGCTAGAGGAAAAGGAAACAAAAAGCCTGACAGAATACTGAGGAATATAGACCCAGGAATTGCAAATGTCTGTAAGCTGAGAAAGAAAATATAGCTCAGGAAAACAGAAATACATCAGAAACAGGCTTCAGGTCTGTATTTCTTATTCAAATTTTAATGGCGCGCTGCGACCCGCTTCACTGCACCGCACAATGCTGCACTAACAGCCTCCCTCAGCTCAACAATGTGCGGCGCAGTGCACACTGGTGGAAAACATGCCTAACAATAGGCGTCATGGCATGGCGGGCGGGCCGTCACCATGTTATGGGGAAGTATTTTATTGTTAGGCAAATTAGGACCGAGTTATGGGGACTTTCTGCAGTCCCCACAGTGTCTTGGATCCTCATACTAGTACCATGGGACAACACATGTATAGTACCCTAGGACAACACATGTACATGTATAGTACCATGAGACAACACATGTATAGTACCATGGGACAACACCTGTATAGTACCATGGGACAACACATGTATAGTACCATGGGACAACACATGTATAGTACCATGGGACAACACATGTATAGTACCATGGGACAACACATGTATAGTACCATGGGACAACACATGTATAGTACCATAGGACAACACATGTATAGTACCATAGGACAACACATGTATAGTACCATGGGACAACACATGTGTAGTACCATGAGACAACACATGTATAGTACCATAGGACAACACATGTATAGTACCATAGGACAACACATGTATAGTACCATGAGACAACACATGTATAGTACCATAGGACAACACATGTATAGTACCATGGTACAACACATGTGTAGTGCCATAGGACAACACATGTACATGTATAGTACCATGGGACAACACATGTATAGTGCCATGGGACAACACATGTGTAATACCATAGGACAACACATGTACATGTATAGTACCATGGGACAACACATGTATAGTACCATGGGACAACACATGTATAGTACCATGGGACAACACATGTATAGTACATGTACCATGGGACAACACATGTGTAGTACCATGGGACAACACATGTAGTACCATAGGACAACACATGTATAGTACCATAGGACAACACATGTACATGTATAGTACCATGAGAGAACACATGTCATATACATAGGACAACACATGTATAGTACCATGGGACAACACATGTATAGTACCATGGGACAACACATGTGTAGTCTCCACAACTACGGAACAAGTCAAGAGGATGTGTTCTACATATCCCCCCGAGGACAGATCACAAAGAGAGACCAACAGATCCTTTCAGTCCTTGGGAATTGGGTCTTTTGTTGGAAACGGTCCTCTGTAGTAGGTCTGTGTGCTTAGTCTATGGGTGAGTGTTATATTACAGGGACAAAGGAAAACACAAAGCATTGTCCTCGAGAGTGTAATACAACAAGAGTGTGTGCATCGTCGATGATTTCTCTGAGTTCAAACTTCTTGTGCATGTGACACTCCAAATAATTGTAGTTTTGGGTGACTCTGAAATGTCCAATTGGAGTCCAAATTCCTAGGGGTTTAAGTCTTTTAAGTTAATGTGTTAAAGGATACAATATATAGGTCATGAAGAATGCCACCATGACAGTAATGTAGTTGGTCTTGCTGTACCGAGACAGGACCCTTCCCAGGGCTTTGGCGTCTTCTATATCTCTGGGTAGCTTCAGATATTGCACTTCATCCCTGCACAAAATACGAGGTTGAACAACATAAACATATTTGTAACAAACCAAATTGAAAACTTGCAAGACTCAATAATAGAATGGCAGAGAAAATTTTCCTTTCTTATAGCGTTTTCAATTCCATGCAGATTCACTATTATAACCCATCTACTGTTTTAACAGTCACAGACAGTCAAAAATTCCATCCACTTTCCAACCATGCCCTTTATGCAGCCTAGTCACCAACTGTCATATCATATTTCAATCAAGCACATTGACTAGTCAAATTCAGTCACCTGACAAAATCAGGCAACCTACAGTCAAAGCATAGCTGTATCAAGTTACATAATCACAGAGTTGTAATGACTCGAGTCAATGACTCGACTCGAGTCCGACTCGAGTCACATTTTTTGGCGACTCGACTCGACTCGAGTCCCGACGGGTAAATGACTCGACTCGACTCGAGTCACTGCGAGCAAATGACTCGACTCGACTCGAGTCCCTCATCAGAATGACTCGACTCGACTCGAGGAAGGCTAATAAGACTCGAGTCCCAAAATAAAAGCAAAACTTACTTGCGAAAAATATTTGCAATGACTTACGCTGCGCCGTTCGCGTTGCCAGTTTTTGTTCACGTCACGTTAATGTTCGCGAATAATGTACCTTTATATACAGCGGCAGTCTGTTTCCTGCCTCCATAATGAAACAACAAACATACACCGTGTCGCGGACTCCCACCTTGTGGTTCTATAGCATGTAATGCTAAACCCGGAACCAGACTTAAAACGCATTTCTCAATCCGTGGTTTCATCATTGGTTTCGGGCGATTTTGAAGTTCTTGGTGGAACGCTGGCTAAATTCATGTCCCGATTTCACACAAAAAAATGGATACGGACGGGCCCACCTTTAAATAATCAGAAACAGTTTTGTATAATGCAATTAGGTTTTAACGTTGTCAGCGATCAGCGAACAACAAAATCTAGACCCGAAGCCAAACTGGTTATAAGACCGAAGTTTCACATCTTCTTATCTGTGACGTGAGCTAGCAATGGAAACTGTTGGTTGGGTACCATACAGCATACTTAATGTCTTTGGATTTCCGTAATAGACTGGTGCCTTGTATTCTTTCTCTCTCTTGTGTTTGTTGCTTTTTATTGTAATTTAGTGTTCAAATATTTGTGACTCGAATTGACTCGAGCTAAATACTTGACTCGACTCGACTCGACTCGACCACACTCTGTGACTCGACTCGACTCGACTCGACCTTGTTGACCTAATGACTCGACTCGACTCGAGTCACTTCTTTAAAATGACTCGACTCGACTCGCGTCACAAAAATCAGTGACTCGTTACAACTCTGCATAATCAGTCACAGCCAGTCAATCCTGCTTTATGTAGGCTGGGAACTCTTAAAAACAGTCACTTGATTGATTGAACAACTTTGCAGAGAATGTATGTTTGCATAGCAAGTTTAACGGATGGGTTTGAATCTGGGGGATGTAAATTCAATATTGGGTCTTCCTCTTCACCGATATTTTTTTTTAAATACTACATGTGCACTATGTGTTGTCTAAGGGCTTCTTTTCTCGTAACACTGAGTATACAGTGTTTAACCATTTTGGTAAAATACATCTGTGAAAAGAAAAACCCAATATTGATATCAACTTATTTCTGTGTCAGGATTTTGAAACACAAATTAATAGAGACTTTCACAAATGCTTTTGTTTTCTAGCAATACAATAGTGGTTAAGGAAAAATACACCTACCGGTACAAATGGCAACCGAGAAATTAAAATGTCAGGCTATTGAGATAGTTGGGAAAGTCAATTTTATGGGAGAGTGAAACGAAAAGCACGGAATGGTTATCACTCAAGTCACATTTCTGCATATCTGTAATCAATTTAGGCCAAATAAAAATATAGACCAGTTTCTTGTCCCCGGCGCTTCCCTTTCCAGCCGGCCTTCAATTTTTTTAAAATTTATTCATACAATTGTTAATAGATTTTGCAAATTTTGTCAATACATTTTTTTTTTAATTTGCTTTCAACAAAACTGTCTCTTTTGGATACAATTTTGTATCAACAAAAGATCAGAGTGGAGAAAATGGAAGAATCCATCCGCCATCTTGAGAGAAAAAAAGGGGCGCCTCCTTCATTTTTTTCAAAAAGCTCAGACTAGATCATGGGTTTAATTAGAAGAACGTACGACCATTTGGATGAGGATAGTTTCCTGTTGTTGTATAAAGCTCTGGTGAGACCACATCTCGAGTATGCCAACCAAGTCTGGGCACGACGTCACAAGAAACATATAATCGAAATGGAGAATGTACAGCGACGAGCAACCAAACTTATCCCAGGACTCAAGGACATGTCATACGAGGGAAGGCTAAAACATCTCAAACTACCAACCTTGGCCTATCGGCGCATACGAGGAGATATGATAGAAATGTACAAAATACTTAGCGGAAAAAGTATGACAACGAAGTCTCCAATTTCATCCCCCTAAGCTCTAGTGTGACCAGAGGCCATCGGTATAAGATAAACAAGGTCCGGACAAGGTTGGATGTCAGAAAGTACTCCTTTGTGCATCGATGTACTGACACATGGAATAGCCTCCCAGAAGTTGTGGTTTCAGCTCCTAGTACACAGTCCTTTGAGGGCAGATTGGATAAGATGTGGGCTTCACATCCCTTTAAATATGATATAGACACCCCAGTATCTACCTCCACACTAGGCGTGCGTACAACATAATTCAAATCTAGTTTTTATGAAGATCTGATACTAGAGGCAACACAAGGCCTTTCATCAGAAGAGGACCTGTAAGTACCTGTAAGTAGAAACTAATTTTTTGTTTTACTTGGCCTAGAAATTCACTGGTTACATACGGTTCTAAATGTGGAAAGCTGAAATACACGAAGACCATGACACACAACGCTGATAGGAATATCAACGCTAGTATGATGAACGATCTTGTGGTTTTGTTTCGATCAGCATCATCTTCAGGCATGTTCTTGGTTGCATCAGCTTCATCTGTGAAAGGTGAAGAGGAAATAAAACGAATATATCAATGAATATTAAAAAAAAACTTGGGAAAATTGCGGTGTGGGCCCAGACATGGCTCGGACATGTCCGACAATCGTGTGGTGTTTAAGGAAAAAAAGTCATAACTTTTTTGTAATGAGAGATATTCAAAAGCTGATTCAAAAATCAAACTATTGCTTATTTTATAACGATTCCTATAATTTGTAACACTTTGATAAGTTTGGAATTTTGTGGGAAAATTTAAAGAATAAAGGTGTTAAATAATAATATTTTGACACTAAAAATCACAAAATGTTTGGCGATCGTGCATCTACGGGCCCGGTTCCTATTAGTATTAAGGGAACAAAATCCACTTTTCAATTATTTGACCTACATTGTACCATGTAAGGAGCGCTGAATCGCACTGCACCAAACGTAAACCGCGTAGGAAAATCGTAATTTCTACCCCAAGAAACTGTTCACAAATTACAAAAAAAGGTGTCATTATATCGAGAGAAATGAGAAGTCTGCTTCAATTTACTACGGTTGAAAATGTCATATTTGATCAAAACAAAACAGGTGCCATACACAACACCATCGCAGAATATTTTCATTGATGCTCATGATTAAACGTTATTGATTTTGTCGTTTGCTCCTCTTTCCAGTGATACCAAATTTTCTAGGGTTGTAAGAAAAAAGGCAGTGTATATTTTGCCGGAGACGGCAAACCTTTAGTAAACTTTAGTTTGCCGGATGTGCACTGAACATGCGCAGTTACTGGTTTTTTGTTGTACTTAAACATTTTCCGGTGACAAGTTTTAGTCTGGCTCCATGCCAAAATTATCGTTGTTACCTCGTATTCACAAGATGGGATTCAGACCATTTTATAATTTCGGACTTTATTTCCCTTTTAAAAAAAATCCTCCAGAGCCACAAATCTGAAAAAGAAAATGTAAACTCTGCAAAAAATGTTTGAGACATGTTAAAATAATAAAAGAAGAATATTCTTATTTATTTGGGGATGAGAAAAAAAACTTTAAAATGTGGTGCGGTCGGAATCGAACCCGAGTCATCCCGCCTAGTAGAGCCTTTGCTTAACCACTACACCAAACATGGTACACAACTTTTGATGGGAATTCAATACATCTTATAATTCAGCCCTATTTTAAAGAGTACAGCGCTCTCTGTTGATATGGATTGCCGCCGGCAAACCTTTAGTAATCGTTAGTTTGCCGTCATTACCTCCGGCAAAATATCCAGTATCAAGAAAAAATCCCATAACTTAGTGCTGAACTCCCCACATGATCAAGGAAGTCACTGCTGGAGGCGTCAGTGGTGGCGCTATGTACGTGTTGCAATCACAAAGACCATGAACACAAGTCACACAAAAGTCACAATGACGTGAATCATCATTTTTTTCCGGAAATATTACAGAGGCCAATTGTCACACCTGTTTATTTGATTATGACCAAAGTTAGGTAAAACTTTAATATACATTTGATCTTCATACTTACCAACTTTCACTGAATTATTTACATGGGATTCCCTCAAAGGGGGCCTTTTAAACCCTGACCGCAACGACGTCGACGACATCTTCGTGTGTGTAAACGAGCGTGCAATATAGACATGATAGACCGGCAATATAAATACATAATTTATAACACATAAACCAAAGGTATGACAACAGAAGAAGTATCCCAGTATCTTTTGCAATCTGACTTCAGAGGGCGCTTTCAACGCTTTTTAAAGGAAACCGTGTCGCTGAACAAATTTTCGGATACTGTTGCTGTCATACGCTCCTTAAAGTCGATGGATTTAAAATTAGCAGAACAAATTTTAGATAAAACAAGTTTTATTAAACAAATAAAAAAAATATTGTTTTCAACTTCTTAAATTATAACTTTTCAACAATAAATTAACATTTAAAAAACATTTCATTCATTAATTTAATTTAAACAATCTGAACATTAGTATACAAATACTATTAAATTTGTTAAGAAATAAATTATTAACTTTAACAATTATTGTCCCAGAATTTGACAGGGCGACGAGTCTTTTGCTAAGCAACGATGTAGATTTTCGGGGGCATTTTAAGACATTTTGTTCAAACTTTTGCAAAATGTCTGGGCGAGTAGTAAAATTCGCGACTGACCAGGACAAAACTGTCCTAATGGGAAACTTTGAAAAGCGAGGATGGGTACAAGTTTCACCCGAAGAAGATTGGAATTTTTATTGGTGAGCTGAGCTGAGCTGAGCAAGTTGGCTGGTTTGGAAACCTTGCCTAGTCTTGGCCCGAGACACGGATCGTGCAGAATTTCCATCGTGCACAGTGCGCCCTCTAGTAGTATTGGCACAAATTAGACCAGCGCTCCTACTCGCACTTACTACTTTGTAGGGTTTTTTTGCTTTAGAAGCATACTCACCCTCTTTATAGGCTAATCAGAAAGTGCTGCCTTTTTCAGATGTATAGGCCTATTTTTCGTGAAATTTCCAGATTCATTTTTACACGTTTGCGTATCAAAATTTCATCATGAAATTTCACAAAAATTAGACATCTGAAAAAGGCAGCACTTTCTGATTAGCCTATAAAGAGGGTGAGTATGCTTCTAAAGCAAAAGAATCCTACAAACTAAGCCTAAATGTGAAAATCAAAATTTGGCAAAGTCGACGCGTTTTTGTACATGTGGATGTGTGGCCTATGTTTACGGAGGCAGTCCAGTAAATAGGCCACATTTATGGGGCTAGCTTACCCCTAGAACTATGGGTATTGTTAGTTTTACACGTAGTACCCATAGTTAAAGGCATATTAACCATGTCAGTGCGAACATGCTGTATAAAACTCCACGAATAATCAACGACCCAAAAAAGTAGAGTTGAGTTTTGGAGCTGCGGCTGTATATTTGTACCCCAAGACTATGCTCAGCAGTAGTACTTCTTGACATACTCAAGCTTAAAATATAAGGGTTGAATCGATCCCGATAGTGCGAAAAAAAGTGATGAAAACATTGCCATTTCCATACCGAAGCTGCAGTCTACGTTTTAACGTGCACATACACAAAGCGTTGTTGGCGTGACGTCTGAGTCTTTTGGTCTGCATAATCTGGGAACTGACCAAAGACACCGTCTTCATAGTGCATATCGCGGGTGGCCTCAGACGAGCCAATTAGGAGGCTCCAAACTAACCAGGCGTATAGGAGAATGTGACAACATTCTTGACTTGGTATTCACCAATAACACGAACATTGTCAAAAATGTAACTGTTACAGATGGTATTTCCGATTATGATGCATTTTTAGTGGAACTGGATCGGAGACCCAGCAGAAAGCGCAAAGTTGAGCAGAAGAATTTCCTTGTGAATAAGGCGGACACGACGGTGATAAGTGATCACATCCAGCAATTTTCCACCCTGTACTTTGACAAGCTTACTACTTCCAGCGCCAAGCAGAAGTGGGATGCATCAAAAGTTGTATCTTGGTTGGAAGCCATGGGAAAATTTGTTCCCAGCCGTATGACGAGCTCAAGGGCCATCCAACCTTCCTTGGTTTAGCAGAGCCCTGCATACATGTAGCTAGTGCAGACAAAAGCAGCTAGCTTTACAACCGTGCCAAGAAGATTAAGTCTGGCCAGGACTGGAGTATCTACTGTTCAGCCAGAAGGGAGCTTACATGTATCTCTAAGAACAGCCAAAGCCGAGTTTGTAAATGAATTTCTGGAGTCTACCGTCAGAGAGAAGCCCAAAGCATTCTGGTCTTACATAAAGAACCTAAGACAAGAAGACATTGGTGTTGGTGACCTCACTGACCTGAAAAAGGACAAGACTGTTAGTGGCACAATAAGGAGAAGGCGGAAATTCTCCAACATTATTATTATTATTATTATTATTATTATGCATTTAGGTACGCTATTCATAGTATAACTATATCACAGCGATTACAGTAGTAATGAGCAATATAACAACAAATCATTAAACATTATACAAACAAAACAACAATAATACATCAATTGGGAAAGAGGTATGTTTTGAGGATCTTCTTAAACACATCCACTGATGGAGCAGATTTAATATAGGAGGGAAGTTCATTCCACTCCTTAGCTGCTGTAACAGTGAATGTACGATCTCCTGCCTTACTACGAGTCCTGGGAAAAGTTAGCCGAGATGGATCTGCATTGGAGCGAAGATTAGTACGCAAAGGTCGATACAGCTCAAGACACTCATTAAAATACTCTGGGGCCTGATTATGAAAGAATTTGTATACAAATAAAAGAATCTTAAACACAATCCTCTGTTTAATTGGTAACCAATGAAGCGATCTTAGAAGAGGCATGGCATCATGACGGCGATCCAACTTAAAGATGACACGAGCAGCCCAGTTCTGCAAACATTTCCAAAGTGTATTCACCAAAGAAGACGACAGCCCCACTTTCACACCTGCCCGGCACCCTGCCTTATACCACACCTGAATATCACTACTGGAGTTGAAAAGCTGCTGAATGACAGCGATGCATCTAAAGCCACAGGTCCAGATGGGATTCCCCCCTGGTTCTTGAAAATGGCTGCAAAAGACCTCGCTCCAATACCTGGTGACATGTTCCAGACTTCTGCTGACAACGACAAAGTGCCTGATAGTGCCAAGATATTTGAAGTGGTTGACTACCTTGATGAAACCTTCATTGCCAAGAGGGACTACTGGGTTAGTGTTACCAGCTCTCCTGATAGGCATGACTTCAGTCTTTTTGTAGCTCATCTTGAGGCCGAGTTTCCCTGCAGTAACGCGAATGGCCTCAGTTGTCTTTGCCATCTCAACATCGGATTCCTTGAGGAGACCTATGTCATCAGCATAGTCCAAGTCAGCTAGCTTAACTGCAGGATACCTGGAGCTTCTAGGCACTAGGGTTAGACCTCTATTGTCTTTATCATAACAGCTGTTTTCATGGCAAAGACAATGGCTAACCCAAAAAGTAGAGGAGACAGTACGTCGCCCTGCCTCACGCCTGGAAAAAATAATTGAGGAAATAGTGCAGAAATAATACACTACGTTAGCTGGCATTTTAGCCTTGTTGTTGTCACTAGTACAATGCCCGTCTAAAATGTGCATGTTCGGGAAGCGCAAATTGCTTTGCTGCTGGTATTGGTTGCATGGGTGGCTTGTGCGTAAAGCGCTCGCCTCTCACCAAGACAACCACGGTTCGAATCCTGGCCGCGGATCGCATGTGAGTAGAGTTGTGCGTTGGTTCTCTCCTGTGCCACGAGGTCGATGTGGCCGGCAGCCATAGGCGCCTTTACGTGCCAGCGGCCCGACCATGTTGTAGCCGCGTCCTTCGCAATTCAGCATATTATCAGCTGCGAGTAAGGATGATTAGCCTCCCAAATTATTATTATTATGCTTGCAGAGTTTTGGACTAGGCAATATACTGGCACGTTTGCCTCAGAAAATATTACTTTTTTTGCAGCTTTTTCGAGAACCACAACTCGTCCAAACAACTTCAAAGTTGATACTGCACATTCTGTGGTCCGGAGCAATACACCCGCCGATTTACAACTTCATACGTAGTCCGGTTCTGGAGATAATCAACGTACAGACAGACAGACGGACACACACATCACATTCTTGAAATTATAGTAAGGATTACAGACAGCTTGACCCTGTGTAAGCCACTCACAATTTCAATTGATGATTTTTGTATTTTTTTACAGGAGCAATGTGCAGACAACTCGGAATATTTTCAATGTTGACACTGGCTACAGGCTGCAAGATGATCAGTAAGTAAAGTTGGCATACATACAGAGCATGCAACTCAAATCTCATCAGTCCAAATTCACGTGTACCTATAGCCCCATAAATGTGGCTGAAATACTGGACTAATCTCCGTACCTTGTATGTTCAGCCACACTGCTACATGTACCCTATGCATGGACACCCCCCGTTGCTAAGAGCAAAAAATCAAACCAAGATCGAAATTATTTTATCACTTTATAATCACCCCAAGTATTCTACAGGGCGTTTAAAAAAAAAGGAAACCGAGCTTATTTTGTTGATTTCTCGGGTATGACTAATTATTTAGTAAAATGGTACGTTCCGCGAACTCCATTTTACCGTCATGGATGACTGAGCACCAAGTGATGTAACTGACATGCCAAAAATGGCCTTGCACCACATGCATCATAAGACCAATTGACAGTTAATCAGAGAGAGACATTATCGGGAATTTGTTCACAGCAATGAGAACCAGGGCAGAGATTTGCGTTGAAAGGAATGGGGGGCATGTTGAAGGCCAGGACAGTGGGATTAACGGGGAAAGGGATCAAACTTGATATGTTTTAGCAATTGATTAATGACTTTGATAATGTACGTCCTGGATTTTGTTATTTTTAACATGCTGAAAACTGTCAAATCGTCTTGTGGTGCATGTGGCACAAGGCCATTTCTGACATGTCAGTTACACCACTTGGTGCTCAGTCATCCGTGATGGTAAAATGGAGTTCATGGTGTCAAGAAAAAGAAGACATGGTTATGTAAAAGATGGTGGTTACCATTTTCCGAAATAATTAGTCATACCCGAGAAATCAACAAAATAAGCTCGGTTTCTTTTTTTTTGGAACACCCTGTATAACTGCTTAATAGCAGAAAGCTGTGGAATTCATTACCTTCAGAGGTCTAGTTATCTTATCATTTCGGTTTGAATTCAGACAATTTCTGCTGCCATTTTTTACAAAAACGTCATGCTGCTTGACGTCATGGGTTGTGATAATCGCGCCCTCGCTGAGCTTGCGTCGAACTTTGGGAAAGTCTATCTGCATGGCTAGTTGCCTGTCATTCGTGCAACCCATTATATTTAACAAATGCATGATCTCCCCCCCCCCCCCCAAAAAAAAATTAAAAAGAGGCAACAGTTTTTAATTTTATGCAAATAAATGACTTCTCCTGATATTTTTTTCTCGTTTTAGGGTCATCAATCACTTTCCCAACCACTATGAGTTGACGAGGAAAGATTTAATGGTCAAGAACATCAAGAGATATCGCAAGGAGTTGGATAAAGAGGGCAGCCCACTAGCAGAAAAGGATGAAAACGGCAAATACATTCATCTTGGTACATGTAATATTACAACAGTTCTTTGAAGATATTTCAAAGGCATATAGGATCATTTGCATACACTCAAGAATGAAACTGCCAGAATATTATGAAAAAGCCCACTTTGTTGTTACTAAATAGTAGTGTTAAACATCCCTCGAAATCGTTGAGCCTGATATGATGTCATTCTCAAGAAAAGAGGAATTTTGTATCAGTACTTACGATGGTTAGGACCTAACTATCGCTGAGAACAAACAGTTTTTCTCATATTCTACTTCCGTTAAATGACAGCGAGCCAGCTATTGACATCAGCTGGTACTCGGCCAGTCCCTGTGACCTATGGGTTCTATGCATGACAGATTTCTGCGTGCCGCACTTTGAAGGTTGAAAATGAACAGCGTTTTTACATGTTGTTCCAGCATAAATACTTGTCATGTGATTAGCCTGTGTATAAAAGTATAGCAGGGGAAGTGGATGGACATTTTGACCATCTGTGACTATGGGCTCTGTGTGACAACAAAAGAGGGCTCGTTTTTACGTCTTTTGAGAGCTCTGTGGATGGGACTCACAGCATGCGCGAACTGTAATGTACTGGTTCGCGTGCGAAGTATGCACGACTTCCTGAATGTGCAAAAGCTATAGCCACCGCATCTTCGCGTGAGCGTCGGGCGTCGTCGGCGCGCGAATACATGTATTCAAATTCAACTTGCAATGGTCTCCAAGACTAATCCCCGCCTCCAATAACTTTGGATACATTCGAAATACACAGTGGATGGACCAGGAACCAGTCTACATGTAGGTCTCCCCCAACTCTCCGTTTCTTGCTGTTGATGGGGTACTTGTGCACGGATCCCATTGTAGGAGTGTTAACTGATTTATTGTCAAAAATCAGATTGTTGTACATGTAACTAGCTTTTTTCAGTGATTTTTTTTTTTTTTTTTTTTAAATTGTCTCTCTTTCAGATTTCATACCGGTCACATTCCTGCTGCCAGCTGATTACAATCTCTTTGTTGAGGAGTTTCGGAAAAATCCCTCCAGCACGTGGATCATGAAACCCACTGGAAAAGGTGAGACACGGGCAATATGTCTGGGATCTCTTGATGGTTGAAATTTATCAAGGAGTGGAAATGATGAGATGAAATATTTATTCATCTATTAGGCTAAAAAAAAATTACTCGGTCTCTGGTCAGCGCGCGCGTCGATTTTAATCATACGCGTCAACCTTTTTTTTCCTTCAAATTAACACGGAAGCTACAACAGCACCCTCTATTTCCGCACCTCCTCAAATGTTTGTACCAAGGAGCACCAAGGAATGGGGAAATTGCACCAAGGCAAATGATAAAGGGCACCAAGGCAAATTATGCAGGACACCAATGTATAATGAGGACACAAACAAGCAAAATAGTACCCACCTTGTCTGTACAATTCAAGCTTGAAGAAAAAAAAAGAAAAAAAGAAAAAAAACAAACAAAACCGCGTTGCCGCATCAATTCCAGAACTTCGGTCTGACCAGAGACCGACTATTTGGTTTTTTTTTCCTTTAAATGGTTTTTTTTTCCTTGTTTTAACTGGGTAGCCCATTCAGTGGAATCCACTGATCTCCCATGGGGCCCAGTAAAGAGAAGACAATGTGAAGAAATTATAGTTGTAGACGTGGGAGGAAAACCCCAGTAGAATATTCTGAGGAAAACCCACGGAATCAGGTAGGAACTGAAAACCCAATCCACATATTGGCCCAGGCAGGAATCGAACCCAGGTCACAGCGGTGGAAGGCGAGGAAAATACTGCTACCCCAACCTGACTTCTTAAAGATAGATGGTTGTTATGTAGTCGAGTTATAGTTAAGACATGCATGTATTATCAGACAGATCGCAGGTCCTATCACAAACCAAATTGCAAGTAACAGGTGAATGAACAATGGCAAATGTTTGTGTCACAGTGTATTCAAATGGCAATAGCTTGCAACTTGACTTGGTGATTATTTGACTTGTGATCTCACTTTTGAAGACTTGACATCAACTCTGATATGATGATGAAAATATGGATAACGTTGATAATGGTGCTAATTGTTATGTTTTTAATCATGATGAGGGCAATAATGGGGATTATTATTTATATCAGGCTTCCGGCGGTAAAAATAAATCAGCGTATTGTAAAAAGTTCCCGGATGACTGCAATAATCAAGTACCCGGTGGACTGCAATAACATTATTTTTGCAGTCATCCGGGCATTTTCGCTGGTTCCCGCTTGGTCAAGAGCATAGAAAGTCACAGATGTCAACCACTCAGCAGAGCGTAGCGGGCGCATACTGTCGAACACGGAACACGCTGCGCGTATGCAGCGCGCACGTAGCGCGCAAAAGGCCAGGTATACGCACACTGTAATTTGTCAAAAATTACAGTGGCAGCTTCAAAACGTTTGATGTAAACGAAAAAGATGTAATAAAGACAGTATATTCAATTGTGCTTCTTGCGGATCAAGTCAGCCTGATATAAATAATAATTACATTGGATGGCTTGTTTTCAGTGGATACAAGAATATATTGCACTCGCTATGACAATATTGCACTCGTCTTCGACTCTTGCAATATTGTCACTGCTCGTGCAATATATTCTTGTATCCACCTCAAAGCCATCCAATATTATATAATTATATAGTGTTAATCATGATGATGGCAATAATGGTGATTTAAATGACAATATAGTGATTATGACAAGAACGACAGTGATACTGATTGAATTGAATATGATAATAACATTATCATTACTTGATTTCAGCTCGTGGTATAGGCATCTTCCTGATCAACAAGTTATCGCAGCTGAAGAAATGGTCACGAGACAGCCGCACATCTTCGTAAGTGTTCCATCATTACCATGGCAACCACAATACTACACTAACAGCAAACCAACTGATTTTTATCTCTTAAAATTATGTGGTCTAGTAGTTACAATGTTTGACGTACGTCAGTGTACCTGTATGTGGATTTGAACCCTGACGGGGAAGACGGTGCTTGTGTTCTTGGGCAAGACGCTTTACTACAATTGCCTCTCTCCACCTAGGAGTATGATTGGGTACCTGTGAAGGTAGAGACCAGAATGCCCTGATCTCGAGCTGCTGCAAAAACTGGTCTCATGGCCTGATGAACAGGGATAATAGTTGTGAAGCGTTTTGAGACCTTTTGACTATAAAGTGCTATATAAGCACTTCGTTTTTTGTCAATAGATTCCAAGCTCCTTCAGCGAAGGATGCCTACGTCATCTCCAAATACATCGACAACCCTCTGCTGATTGGAGGCAAGAAATTTGATCTTCGCATCTACGTGTTGGTGACATCATACCGGCCTCTCAAGTCTTATATGTGAGTATTTGTTGTCATCTCTAGCGACCCAAATCCTTCAAATCCCTTCCCAGATTCTGTAGGGTTTTGTTGGATATAGAACTGTACTCTAAGCAACTACTTTACATGAGTCTTGAAGTACACCCTACAATGTGTCAACATATTAAAGGGAATGTACATCATTGGCTTCTGCTGTAATTTTCAGAAATGAACTATTTGAGAGGTAATAGTATAATAGATCAAATATTGTTACACTGACATTTTTTAAGTTTTGTGTTCGAAAAGGTTGGAAAAACCAAGAAAAACAAAAATGTTCAAGTAGTCTGGTTCCCTGACTCCACAAAAGATAAAATGGATCAATGTAATAGATGATGGAAAATTAAAAGGGAATATACAACATTTGCAAACATCGAAAAATAAAACTACCAGGTTTTTACGAAAAACCTTACTAGGATGTTGGTAAATGACAGTCTCAAGCATCTTGTAAAATTATGACACCTGGTGTGAAGTCATTTTTAAGAAAACGGTATTTTTGTAAACATTTCCAACGGTGGTCGGCCGACCAGCGTTGGAAAAACCTAACTATTTTTCACTTACTGCTCCAAATTTACCTTTTTCCAGTCCAAATTTTGTTTGCTATTGGTTACATGTTCATGAACAGGTGCAGGCCAGCTAGACTGGTTCCCTTGCCTTACAAAATTACAGCAAAAGCCATTATTGGCAACCAGTCCTTTACCCGATTTTAAACATCACGTCTATACATGTAGCTGCTCTATTACACTGTTATCCCCATTCATGAATACCGTTTCGGTTAATAACCCAAAAAAGTTCAAAAGTTGACATACTTCCAACAAGTTTCAGGGCTTTTCTACGGCATGCACACCTCTCCTTGTATGGAGATCATATCAGTGGCTATCAAGCCGGCGGAGCACGCAGGGCGTACTGTGCGCATGTGGCGTAGAGCGCGGGTGCTCCTGACCAGTTTTAAACATTACTGACCCGTGTTTTACCGGCGGTAAGGTTGAAGGCCATCCACGTAACGGGCTCTCAACCAATAGTAATTGTTAACCCTGCGCAGCGTTTACAAGAAATGTTTATCCGAAGTCGCCAACTGCGTACCTTTGGGACGCAGGTACTTCCCCCACTACGCAAGACCCTATCCATGTCAAAACAACAAAAAGCCACGTGCCAGACAGTGTCCAGACAGTTGCCAGACAGTGCACTTGAAAGATAATTGACTGGCGGCTGCGGTATGCAGCTATGAAGGGAGATGGCTGTGTCAAGTTACAGGTGTTTGTATATGTTTCAATGAGACTTGGCAGGAGGCCTGGTCCCAAGGTTGTTGACACCGCTCGGGTGAAACCCTGGCTGCAAAGTTCATTGAACCAGCTGATTTGGCAAGGGTTGAATGAGGATTAGATGGAAGGTGAACGTCATTGGCCCTCAATTTTTTTTTTTTTTTCAAAAAATTTGGTCACCTGCGTACGGTACCCAGGGTTTGCAGGTCACTCGGCGCAGGGTTAAACTATCAGGTATTTATGAATGCAGATTGTTTGATTTTTGTGGATTGGGGTGGCTTTCTTACACTGTTTAGGCAGTAAGAATACAGAAATTTATTATATTGGGAGTAAAATTTACTTTGCCCTTTTCACCTCAAAGATCTTGGAAATTTATTTGTTTGTTTTGCATTTTCAGCTATAAGCTTGGCTTTTGTCGGTTCTGCACAGTCAAATACAGCGCCAATGTTAACGAGCTGGATAACATGTTCATTCATCTGACCAACGTCTCCATTCAGAAGCACGGGGTGAGTTTGGAGCCATTTTAAAGGTGTACGTTTGGCCAGATTTTGCACAAATTTCAGGTTCAGAATTAAACACATAGCAATCCTTGAAACATGTGACTGGAATGATGACTATCTATTTAGTTTCCTCAGAATGATTTAATTTTCCTCAGAAAAAAATCTTCGCATAAATTTCAGGTTCAGAATTAAACACATAGCAATCCTAGAAAAATGTGACTGGAATGATGACTATCGATTTAGTTTCCTCAGAATGATGTACTTTCCTCAGAATTGTTTTTTCTTTGACTGCCCTTTGGAGACACCCTTATCATTTCATGATAAACAAATGATAAACGCGTTGTTCAAGCCCAAATGAGCACTTTCTCTCAAAATTGCTCTTTGAGTGAACAACTTTCTTGTTTGTAAGCACGGTTTGTTCTGCACTTCCTCAGATTATACTTAGTACGTTGGCCTACGTGTATGGAAAGTTATGCACAAACAGCAACATGTGTCTTGTATGATGGAGTTTTTGCATTGGGAACTCTATATTGTGGGTTCTGCCAAACAAGATATTGATTATCGGTATCGTTTCGGTTTGCGGTAACACCATGTGGTAATAACTACCGTAATTTTCGGAATATAAGCCGCGCGGCGTATAAGCCGCAGCACGCAAAAATCTGCAAATTAAGATTTGAAGTCGGCGTATAAGCCGCATCGGCGTATAAGCCGCACCAACCGCAGCGGTTCAATTTTGTAAGGCCTCCAAATTCTAGTCAAAATGCTCTGAACCAGTTCCATTTACACTACGAAAGCTATAAAAGGGCCACAAAAGTTATGTCAAATCATTTACAGTCGATTACTCTTACAAACAAATATGGAAATTGATGATGAGAAATAAAAAACGGGAATTCCTGCCGGCTGGCTCGTGAGCCTGTGCCGGCGAATGACATTATTTTCCCCCAGCACTTGACACTTGAGAGAGTATGCAACCCACCATGTGGCGTCTGACTGGAGCGCTACAAATCCTGCTTTGTGGCAACAAACGCTGAGTTGTTTTGTCCTAAAGGATAAACAAGTCCGTTTTTACAGCAAAACTTATCAAATTGTTGTGATTACTAACGAGTAGTAACGTCAAAAATTCAAGTTTGGATCGTAACTTTCTTCGAAAACAGTCAACACGATGCTGAGACTTTTATGGACGAATCCATTAATTTCGTAAGGGGTGATTTCACCCCTGTTTTGAGTTTTACATCGTTTCTTGAATACCTTTCAAGAAAAAAAATTATATTGTGACGTTGAACAACTGATTATCAAATAAAGATATGTTTCCAACTCCATAAAAAGTAGTAGTTGTCTTTTTCCTTTTTTTAAACAGGGGAAATATTGGTAATTATTGTTCCCAAGAAAGTACACCCCTTTATTACCACAAATGGTGTGGTCCATGGGAATCCATGCAGCATGCATGCAGCATATGCAGCATCACGTACGGCCGGTTGTCGATGTCCAAGGGACAGCTTTCACTAGCCGTACTTTTTACCGCTCTGTACCTTTTTGTGGGACGTGCTTTCGGTTTGTTAATGACTTTCTTAATTGATAATCATTTCAGCAACACATCTCTTCTTGTACCAGTACATTAAATACACATGTAAATGTCATTTTTATTCTTCAAGTCTCGGCGTATAAGCCGCCCTGTGTATAAGCCGCAGTAACAATTTTCATGGGCAAATTCAACGTATAAGCCGCGGCTTATATTCCGAAAATTACGGTACTGCTTAGAAGATATTAGTTCTGAAAAGAACTTGTCCTGCTTATTATCAACTTTGCTAAGTAGTTTTTTGTTCTGATAAGAACAGTCCTGCTGTAAGTTCTAAACGAACTTGTCTTTGGTCTCCAAGATATTGATTGCGGTAACTGCTGCTATATCAGATTCGTGCCAGCTGACCCCGGCAAGCTCGGTGGTGGAGTGGTAAGACGTCTGCACTAGTAAGCAGGAGGTCGTGGGTTCGAGTCCCACTTGAGTAAGGTTGTGAATTTTTCTTGCAAGCCCTCAGACAGCACTTGTACTGAGTATATAGTTCTTCATATTAGGTTTTGCCCTTCACCGACGTATTTAAAACGCTGTATACTCAGTGTGTTACCTCCCGAGTGAAAGTTGGAAAAATCACTTGGGTGGGACTCAAACCCACGACCTCCTGCTTTCTAGTGCAGATGCCTTACCACTCGACCACCGAGCTAACAGGATCGGTTGGCTGGTTCAAATCTGATGTACATAGCAGCGGGTACCACATTAACTATTCATAAGATATTCATAAGTTGCGTCGGGGTGATGTATAAAATCGAATTAGGTTTTGCCCTTCACCGACGTTTAAACACTGTATACTCAGTGTGTTACCTCCCGAATTATTTTTTTTGCCAACTTTCACTCGGGAGGTAACACACTGAGTATACAGTGTTTCTACGTTGGTGAAGGGCAAAACCTAATTTAATTTACGTCACCCCGACGCAAAATTGCATCATATGAATAAATAGTTCTCGTAGAAACATTATGTCATTGAAGCAAAAACCCAACATTAAAAATCAACAGTAAAGCAGTTTGGAGGTAACATCCAATGCATTGTTTTTGGCAATCATGGGCTCAATCACACAACATGTACACAGCCCAGATACTAAACAAAACAATTGACAAAAACAAAGTTGACAACCCCAGTTGCAATGTGTACAGGGTGACAAAAAAAACGAAACTCTAATGTCGGGACTATTGTTTTATGGTGTTATGGTAAAATGTACAAGTTTTGAATGTAGCACCTTCAAAATCTAAGATATGAAAGCCCAATTCATAAGCTTTCTTTTATTTCAAGCATCATTCGAATCACTCATGTACTTTTCAAGTTACGGAATTATAAACACAACCACCATTTGAAGGTTCTGTCCACATATCAAAAAAAAAGGTGTGCGTTCTTTCAGCAAAATGAAAACCATTCACACACATCCCTATGTGATTTGTTTTCATTTTGCTGAAAGAACACTGAACTTTTTTGTGATCCGTGGACAGAACCTTAAAATGGTGGTTGTGTGTAAAATTCCGTAACTTGAAAAGTACATGAGTGATTTGAATGATTCTTGTACTAAAAGAAAGCTTAAGCATTGGGCTTTCATATCCTAGATTTTGAAAATGCTACATGCAGAACTTCACTAAAACAATGGTCCCGACATTTGGGTTTCCTTTTATTTACGCACCCTGTACTGCTTTATTACCTCTGACAGTTGTACACATGTATGCTATGTACACAAACCTTGACTTGATTCACGTTTGTTTCCTTTCACAGGAGGAGTATAATTCTCAGCACGGTGGGAAGTGGACTGTACATAATCTCAGGGTGTACTTGGAAGGAACGCGAGGCAAGGAGGTAACAAGTGTGATTAGAACATATCGACGGTGTTTTCACGAAGTGACAAAAACCTCAATATCCTGCAAAAGGCTCAACCCGAGATAATCGCATTTGGAGTTAGCCCTTTTTTCAAAATGCATTTTCGATTAGTATGTAGTTATAGATTTGGGTGTTTTATTTGCATTGTCATGCAACGTATGCTTTGTTCTTTGCTAATTCAAAGTTGTTTGTTAAAAATCTCTCTTAATTAAACAGTAATTCATTAATAAAGATATTCTTCACTTCGTGAAAACAGTAAAACACAGAGGCCTCACTATTTTTCCCCATTATGTTGTACACACTCTTCGTCACTTTGTGAAAACAATAAAACGTTCCAAGAAATTGTTACATTGCGCGTCATACGTCACTGCAGCGCGGGCGCGTCTGTTTTTGTATCGACATTGCTCGCGACGCGCGCCTACTCCCATCCTAACGCGTGCGTAGAGAAATGAATTATCCCTCTGGCCCTGCTAACTAGGTTTTTGTCACTTCGTGAAAAGAGAAAAACAAGGATTTCAGGCTTTTTGTCAAATGTTTGTTTACAATAATTACAGAAGTAAACAATATTTCGCTTTGAAACTTGGTCAAATTCTTCTTTTTGTCAAGTGCAATATATTGGCCAGAAAAACTCAAAAATCGAAAAATTATCAATTTTCCAGGTTTTTGTCACTTCGTGAAAACATTGTCGATATTTGTGGCCATGAAACCAAGGATTTCTCATTTGTGGTAAATTGGTAAAAGGCACTTAAAGCCACGAAGGATCGTTTGTTTTCTTCAAAATGACAGCATGCCAGAAGGAATAATTTCACTGGGAGTCATACCCAAGTGCAAGCATAATTTATAGGACTGTTATTGGACATTTGGTTTTATTGGACATTTGGTTGTGCAGTCTTGGTCATTGTAGATTTGTCTGTTGTCGCACAGGCCGGAAAACACCTCAGGATAGAACTCAACGAAGTAATACTTCAAATCTAATTGACCAGAGCCTTTTGCTTGTAACATTCCTGAATCCTGATCCTCCAACCATACTATGCAAATAATGAATGTTTATGAGTGCAATGGTAAGAGTACACATAATTTCATGTTCCACTCCATGCGGCGAATGCAACATTTCATCTGTCACCGAATGAAATTATTCTTTCCATTGCATGCATGTGTAACATTCATTCCTTGTTTTATACAACACCTGAATAAATCCTCGTCATCTGATTGATCAGAGCCACCATTCGTGTGACCGTGCAATGCCACTCCTATTTACCATGAAATAGAACTTCTATTTTTGCGGTGCGGCCACGCCCGCGCCTTGCGTTGGGACGAATAATTCAATGACATGTGACCAGCAACCCACCAATCAGATGACGGGGATTTATTCAGGCACTTTATAAAATGACATATGGAATTCTATACAGTGAATTAGTATTTCCACCTGTGGTTTAAAGCTGGAGTCCATCATTTGCAGCTATCCAAAAAGTAACTGGCGTAATTCTTGTTGAAAAACATACTTGGTTGAAAGATAGTAAGGGGACTAAACTCCCTGTGAAATTATTCTTTCTGGCAAGCTGTCATTTTGAAGAAATCAACAAAAGAAGGCCTTTCCAACGGTGCTTCTTAAGACGCACCGTAGGAAATTTAAATTAGTAGTTCGTTTTGTTTTGCAGCAAAGCGCCCGCAAGCATTGGTACGACGCACAACACGCGCGCCGTTGCTATAATTCGTCGGATCAGTGCGTGACATCGCGTCGCTGCAATCGGCTCAGTGAGAACGTGTCTCAGACGCTGAATTCAGGCCCAATTCAAAACAGGATTCAGCAACTTTTGATTTGAAATCGAGATCCTAGAATGCTGTTTTTCTCGGAATATACAGCTAAAGCTGAGCTGAAACTTTCATCAGGTTAGTTGTTCAGCACCCTTCTTTAGATTTTGAACACTTTTGTTGCTTCAAACGAACAAAATGCACAAATTACAAATGATGGACTATATCTTTGAACTGTCTTCTGGTTGCAGGTGACAGACAAGCTTTTCGATGAGATGAACTGGGTCATCGTACACTCACTCAAGGCAATGGCAGTAAGTTCCAATTGTTCGCTTTTAAAATTGTGTAATTGTCGTAGAGCTATATTAAATTACTAGAGTGCTAACTTCGTGTACAAAGTAATGCCTGCTGGGCGCATCCATGTTTGTGCACAAACCTATGGAGACCTAAACATTTTGTATGGCCTTTGAACGGCTATTTGCATATCTGCATTTGTATTCCATACTGATGCGTTATCGAAGCCAATACGCCCACAACCGAAACGCACGATCAGCAAATGAGCGTGTCATTTTGCTCTACGCAAACAGCGCAACGCGCGTGCGCGTATTCGCTGCAGATGCTTTTTGCCGTCATGTTTTTTTTTTTAATCGTCAATGACGCGCTTAAGTTGTCTGCGTATGTTCAACTTGCGCGCATGCTTGCGCGTTGCATGTAGAGTACGCTTTCAAAATTCAATCTATCTAATTTCATTATGTTCAACAAACACGCACATGAATTCAAAATGTCTGTGCCCAGGACGGCTTCAAAGCGTCTCCGCATGCAGAATGACGAGTTAACGCTCTAGTAATTTAATATAGCTCTATGGTAATTGTGTGTCACTAGTGCAGGGCCCGGCGAAAATGCGCCTGTTCGAAAGGGGCAGTTTAAAACTGCTCATGCAAACAGTGCACACGATTCAATGGTGCTGTTTTCACAGGTTGAACGCACATTCACAGGTTGAACGCACACTTTGTACATATTGCCATCCTCCGGCACTGATATTTACCCCTGATAGACAATGGTATCGCCCTACAGTAAGGGTTGCTTAATCGACCGCCTACGGTGAAGGTTGCTCAGTCCACTGCAAAATGCATGTACCCGTGCAGCCGCTCACGTACGTGTACATACGGAAACATTGTATGCAGTGCTATTCACCCATACTGGACAATGGTATCGCCCTTCAATACATGTGCCCGTCCTTAATCCATTGTTTGCGTCATATTGTGCACGCGCTTTAGCTCGAACATGACGTAAACAATTGAAAAGGACGGCAGCGCATGGTGGTCTAGGCTATCATACTGCCACATTTGCCTCAGAAAATGCTGCTTTTTTGCAGCTTTTTTCGAGAACCGCTCATCCAAACCACTTCAAACTTAGCACTGCACATTCTGTGGTCCCGAGCAATACACCCGCCGATTTTCAACTTCTTTCAGTGCCAGGCTCTGGAGATAATCGACGTACAGACAGACAGCACGACAGACACACAGAGATTCCTATAATTATAGTTTAGGCCAAAAAAAAAAAGTCTCCGGTTTCTGGTATGCGCGCGCGTCGCCGTAGCCATGCGCGTCGGCAAAATGAAAACGTTTTTTTTTCAATGAAAGATGATGTCTCAAACCGCCAAACTCACTGGTTTGACTGGAATCCTGCTGCTGCACAATTTTAACGTGTTTTTAGATTGGGTTATGGTCGAGAATAAGTTTTATGTGGCCTCTCTGGACACCCATATATTTGCACTAAGTTTAGTCGGGCACCATTTGCAGTCATCAGCACACATATGAAGCAAAAAAATAGGTAAAAAAAATAAAAAGCCGCGTCGTCGCACCACTTTTTGGGCCAGCTCCATACCAGAAACCGGAGACTTTTTTTTTTTGGCCTTATAGATAAATGAGTTCCATTTTTTTTTGGGGGGGGGGGTGTAATTGCATTGGTCTTAACAAAAAATGGATATTCATGTTTGCTCTCTTTTTAGAATGTGATGGCCAATGATAGACATTGTTTTGAGTGTTATGGTTATGACATCATCATCGATGACAACTTGAAGCCTTGGCTGATCGAGGTAAGATATTGACCAGTTTGCGTCGGAGGACGTAAACACGCACTGGCTGTTTACATGTATATACACAGGCACGGCTGATGGGTTAAAGATGTCGAGCTTGCCTCAACCGCCTCCGTGGGACGTCTAAACATGCTAATCCCTATAATAATCCCTACTCCGAAATAACATTTAAAAGTAGGACATAAACATCCACACAACTATCCTTTCAAAACTGGGCGTTTTTGTGTTATTCCTATATTATGCGTGCGAGAACGAATTTCGGGGTCCACTTTTGCGACCCCATAAATTCAAGCTGTTTGGATGCTAGTTGTGATTTCATTCGTAAAGTGTTCGCCTTTTGCGGACGTTGAAGAAACCATTTTTTGTTTGCATTGGTGATTGGTCACCGCGCGCTGTTCCCGAGACACACAACGTGTATATCGTACACTAAGAACGACACGAAAAACGTATTCGTACTCTGTCATGTCCGGTGTAAACAAGCGGTTTCTTTTCGTCTTTTCTTGGGAATGGTACGACATTAGGTTGGTTTCCTTTCAACCAGATGTTTGAAATAGGCTAAGTAAACAATCCAAAACATACAATTTTCGGAGATTTCAGGACCTAGTGTCCCTTTAAATTCTATTTCAGTCAATGGTAAATTACAGGTAGCAGGTTGGTAGAGCACTGCTGCTCAATTCCAGTAGTTAAAGGTTCGAATCAAGCTCCAACCATTGGTGTTATCTTTTGGTGTTAGGTCAATGCCTCACCTTCGCTGACCTCAACGACAGCCAACGATCGCATCATGAAGTACAACCTCATCAATGACTCCCTCAACATCGTCGTGCCGAACGGCGAACCACCTGAGTAAGTACAGTAGAATTGTGAGTTCTCAGTCCGATTGTTAAGTAGCAGAAATAAGAATGGATCATGATGCTTGTGTCCTCAAGCAAGACAGTTTTCCGTAATCGCATCTCCTGACCCAGATTTAGTTATTGTGTGTGGTTGGTACAGAGAAATGCTACACAGTACACAACGGGTTGCTTACAGGCGCATGAACCCGAGCGAGGCAAAGATTCAGGAGTTGATGGTTCATGTTGGCCAAGGGAAAATAATACCTGTGAAGTGCTTTGATATTCAAATATGTTTTACCCCTGATTGACAGGCTTATAATTATTTCTGGGTTTATCTCAGCTAGTGTAAACTAGAGTAAACTTTTGTGGGGTGCTGTCGTCCAATGGTTACGGTGTTCGATTTGTGTGCCGTGGTACATGTACATAAGTTCGAATCCTGACCGTGGGAACATGGTGCTTGTGCTCTTAAGCAAGGCACTTTACCATTATTGCTTCGGATGGGACGTAAAGCCGTAGGTCCCGTGTGTTGTGTAATGCATATTAAAGAACCCAGTAACACTTATCGCTAAGAGAAGGGGTTTGCCCTGGTGTTTCTGGCAGTGGCTGCAATATGCGCCGCAGCACCTTGTCAACCCTTATAAGGTGCTACATAATGGGTCTCATATTTCTCATATACTTTATTTACCTTTCGTTAATAATAGACATAATAACCAGCGCCTTGAGTACCTAATTGTTGGTAGATACGTGCGCTATATAAGACTCCGTTATTATTATTATTATTAAACTATCATAAACAGAAGAATGAAGCTGAACCCGAAAGACTGGTTCACTGCGCCGTGTGGCGTTCAGCCAATAAGAAAATTTGTTACGAGGCACCCCGATTATTTGAGTACGTCTGTTGCAAAATGGAACACGCGTTGGGATTTCAATCTTCCTATTAGTTTTTTTGTCAATAAATAGAATAAAAAAATTAAAAAGGGGATCACGCTGCACTTTAATAATACTAGCTGATGTGTGGTCACTCTTAAATGTGCATGAGTCGCTTATATATCCAGACAACTGAGGGCTTCTGTTGTCACTTTTCACTGCACTGATAGATGGGTACCGATCTTGGGTAAATTATATTTGCATGCATTAGTAAAGGGAACTAGGCTGTTTTCCGGGCATCGGAACACGATCGATAAAATACATCTTAGTTCTTACTTGATTTTTGCTTGTTTAATGCAAATAGGCCTACATACGTGACCGGTTAGTTTCCGTCTGTAAAATGATCACAGTTCTATGTACCAATGCGATTAAACAAATTGGTGAGGGGATTTTTAGTGGTACGTGTCCGTCCGTCATGAGACAATTCTGTTACATCGTTACGTGCCGGTCATGACTTGAAGTGGGACGTGGGTTCATTCCTTGCACGGCCCTTCGCTCGTACCCCCCGCCCTGCAAACAGGGCGCTGGTAAGGGCTGATTAGCTTCACAGAATCTTGTGAAGGAAGTACAGATTGACCTTCGCATGCAGCTAGCGCGCGCTATGCATGATGGGCACCGGAAGCTAGTTTGTGTGACGCATTCTACGTCACAGGTCACGCAAATCTATCCGATGAGAGCTCAAATGTCGTCAGCCCTGACCAGCGTCCTGTTTGTAGGGCGGGGGGTACGAGCGAAGCACGGCCCCGGTTCCACTCTTTGCACACCGGGTTCCAGTGACGCGTTCATGTACCCACAATTTTTTAACACCGTTCGAACAATGTTAAAAAAAATTGCTTAAACACTAAATTTGTTATTATTTTTTGGGACTGGTTTGCACATGTGTTGTTGGAGAACAGATATAATATTTTTGACTCAGGTTTTGTTTTCCTTCTTTGTATCTGCTTTGGGGGTTTGGAATTGGGTCATTCTATAAATTTGGGGTCCAAAGTGTGACATTTTTCCCGTCCCTGTTACCTTGGTACTTTGTAATTTGCCATTCAAGCATCATTAAAAGTGACTTCAAATGATTGTTTATTTGTTGGGTAGGTAGTTTGCTATTCATAATCACTCTTGGAGGATGACTGCATTAAGGAGTGCATCAGAATTATACAATCGTAGATGTCAGATGTAACAGGGACGGGAAAAAAAGTGGACCCCAAATTTATAGAATAACCCAATTGTGAAGTGACGTTAGTCTTAGTCCGGTCATGGAGGTAGAATTCTACCTCCATGGTCCAGTGCAATCGCTGCTGATTTCACGCACTAATCATTTCGGATCAGGATTTTTTGGAACGTTGTTTTAATATATATTGTGATATGTATCGTATCGTTGGCATACTGTATCATGATACGTATCGTATCGTGACCCAGGTGTATCGTTTCAGCCCTAATTTTTTTCGCAACCCGAGCTGTTATGACTTTTTAGCCTCGAGCTTTGCGCATCTTTTGATACCAAAAACATAAAAATCGGACCACGGATTGCCGCGTAGCGAAATTTTTTGTAGCCCAACAGGCACATTCCAGTCCGTAATGTCCCTTTAAAATGGAATTGATGACAGTGCAATGTCTTGTTATATCATGTATTTATGGCTGTGTAGGCAGCTTAAGTTTTGGGCTTGAGTATGCGAGCACAATGGCCAATGATACAAATGTCTTTCCCTTTACTCCTCCCCCCCCCCCCCTCCCAACGCCATCACCTCACAGCTAAGGGATTTCTTTGTATGGAGTCCAAATCCAATGTTGGCTTCATGCAACAAGGGGAGATGGTATTTACAAAAGTTACGTCATGGTCCAATTTAGAACTGTTACATGTAATCTTGTGTATAAGGCATTGTAAGATGTTTGACTTGTACAGGTACATGTACAAGTATACCCTTTAAAAAAATCAAAAAAACATGCAACTGGTATTTGTTGTTGTTAAGTTAATAATAATAATAATATAATAATATCTAATTCTTGTATAGCGCCAAATCCGTCAAAATTGACCCTCAAGGCGCTTCACAGAAATAAAAATGAACAGGTTAAAATTTAAGAATAAAATAAAACTTATGCAAGAAGAACCTTTAAAATAACTATAAAATAATATGGTTGATAAAAGACAGCCAAACTGTCAAGTTAGGCAATAAGAATGAGACAAACGGGCAATTAAAAATTGACACACAAGGCGCTTTACATAAATACAGATATACCAGTTAAATTTTAAAATGTAAGAGGTGTACAAATTAAAATTGTCTAAAACAGGCAAATATAAACGGTTGGGTGACTTCATAGTATATTTCCTTCATAAATTCCCAGAACAAAGTTCTCAAGAAATTTTGTGCAAATCATACACACAAAAGCCTAAGTCAACACGCAGTAAGTGTTTGTTCTTGCATAGGAATGTTGAGACTATTTAGCAAACTTTTGAGTAGAAAAAAAGTGTTTTATAGAACACCCTTTTGATATATATTGAATAAAATTGACGTCAATTGATGACGTCCGGTAGATCTATACACAAACCATATCAAACAAACAAAACAATGGGAGTAGACCGGTTCATTGTGTATATCTGTAGGAGATCCGAACTTTACAGTTTGTTTTTAATCAATCACTTGAAAACTCTTGAGAATTGCCCAGCATTGCTGGTGATAACATGCACTAGAGGTTGCTTTGGGGGTAGAAGGTTGTTTTGACTTGAAAAGTTGTGATGAGTCATACAATTTTGTGCATTTTTAAAAATTTCTGTTGCTAGTGTTGATGCTTGCTAGACGTTGCTAGTCATATTTTTGCACAGTTATCGTCACCTGTGAAAACTGTTTGCAGCACGGTGTTGCTTGCTTGAACCAATTGACGTCATATCCTTAGCAATGATGGCATGTACAGTACTAGCCAAACCCTAAACATCCAATTCATGGAATGATCTATTTCCAAATAAGTTACTACAGTATTTTAAGTGAGCCCACAGGTCGACCTGTGATTTGCTTGCACTACAACGGAACCGTCGCCTTCAAGCAGAATAGTCACGCTCAGATCACAGAACGGAGAAATTGTGTAATTATCGTGGAACAAGCGCCATCTTGACACTTAAACCATTGCTATGACGTCACACTATTGTTAAAAGTGTGGATTTGGATCTACGAATCTCTTACACTGGTCACAAAGTGTGGATTCGGAACTACGAATCTTTAGTAAAGTGTGGATTCGGAATTACGAATCCACACTTTGGACACGTCGGACAATTGTTCTCCATAATGAGGCTGAATAGGACCGTCTGCGTGAAAATTTGCTTTCTTAATAATACCAATGCATCTTCACTGTCAGATTCTCAGCCGTCACTGCAAAATCTACTTTTAGTCAGAAAGAAATCGTCGTCTGAACTATCCATTTTGACGTAAGGAGCCTATACACACAAAATGACTTGGTTGTACGGGTGTGGCGATACACATGCTAAAAACGCCAGGAAAAAATGTTGCAACCTGACGCCACTTCCGCGCCTGTGTACAAGGGCTATGAAGAGTCATTTCAAGTATTTCCTAACAAAATTGGAAACATTTCTCTGTCCCAAATTTATGTATTATCGTCATTTTTGCAACGAATGACTTCATTGAGATGATATATGAAGAAAAAGGTGGCGTCAGGTTGCAGCATTCACCAATACTTCTGTTGGCTCAATTGTTTGCTCAATTGTTCTCAATGGTTTTAAGTCGAAGAATACACTTGCAAGTGTGGATTGTTGATTTACGAATTCACTCGGCGCTTTGCGCCTCGTGAATTCTTAAATTACGAATCCACACTTTCTTGTGTATTCTCCTTAACAGAATAATCGCAACCATGCTCATGTCACCCACAACGCGATGACGATTCCGCGGCACAGACATGATCATCTGACTTCTTCAAAATGGCACTAGTGCGCGTGTTGATAACAATCAAACTATCTTCCAAGGCCACGTTTGTTCATTTGGCCGCCATGGTAGTTATAAAGCTACATGTATGCAGTTTATGCACGCTGATTGGCTGTACAATGAAATTATAAAACGTAGATGACCCTGCAGGATGCATGCACGACGT